TATTTGGCCATAAAAAGGAATGAGGTACTGATATATCCAATAACATGGGTGAACATTAAAAACATTATGAGCAGGGACTTCCCTGGGGGTGCAGTGGTTAAGAATCTGCCTGCCAATGCAGGGGACACGGGTTTGATCCCTGGTCCAGGAAGATCCCACGTGCTGTGGAGCAACTAAGCCCGTGCACCGCAACTACTGAGCCTGTGCTCTAGAGCCCGCGAGCCACAACTACTGAAGCCCGTGTGCCTAGGGCCTGTGCTCTGCAATAAGAGAAGCCACCGCAATGAGAAGCCCGTGCACTGCAACATAGAGTAGCCCCCTCTCGCTGCAACTAGAGAAAGCCCGCGAACAGCAACGAAGACCCAATGCAGCCAAAAATAAATAAATGAATAAAAAAATTAAAAAAAATAATAGATTATATACTTTAAAAAAACAAACAAACAAAAAAACATTATGCTAGTGAAAGGAGCCAGTCACAAAGGACCACAACACTGTATGGTTTGATTTATATCTAAATGCCCAGAATAGGCAAATCCGTGGAGACAGAAGGTAGATAGTGCTCCCTGCCGGGGTATGGGCGAGGGAAGAATACGGAGTGACCGCTAACGGGTATGGGGTTTCCTTTTGGGGTGATAATAATGTTCTGAAAATGAGTGGTGATAGTCGTACAGAGTTGTGGATATACTAAAGGCCACTGAATTGCGCACTTTAAAATGTACTTTGGAACTGAGATATGTGAATTATATCTCAATAGAAAAAAGCCTAGATGCAGAACAACATGTAGAATGTGACCCACCTGTATAAAGTCTATGTGTGGGGGTGAGTATACTACTTTTCTCTGGAAAGATTCCCAAGTAATTTAACAGTGTTACCCTCACAGAAGGCTATCTTTCATTTATACATGTCTCTGTAGATTGAGATTTAAAATAAAAAATCACTGGATGAATTTATTTTAAACATAGCTTAAACTTCCTTTAAAAATCATTAGATTATTCCGTAAAGCAGGAAAATTTTCCAAAAGAACGTGCCACTATGGTCCCAATTTTTACACACAAAGGAAGATGCAGGCCAAGATATACGATGCCAATTAGCTTATAGTGACTTAACATTGAGAAAAATTACGTTAAATATTTTAAAAAAGTGAGAGCTGAGAGAGAAGAGAAGTTAGTTGTACTAGATGCTGAGGACACACAGATATAGAAGGTTGGTCCCCGCCCTGGAATCATTTTCTTTTCTTCTGTGTTGGAAAGAAAAAAATACAGATGCTTATTTCCTTATTTAAGGCCAATAACTAGTTTATTCTATTTCATTCACAGCTCAGAACAAAACTTCTAAGTTTATAACTGCAGGTATAACTGTTCTGTCCTCCCCCTCAGAGGAGATGAGTGTTTGGCCTGGATTTTAATGAAGTCTGGTCAAGTGGCAGAGGCCAGATAAGAGTGTTCCAGTGACTCTACCTGCTTGGATCATAAATATTTAAGTGGATGCTTCTAATACTGTACTAAAGAATGCTGTTGAATAGGACAAGTTACTGTCTTATGTAGTAGTCATCAGGCTTTGGAACTGCGAAAGCATGAAAGTCACCAAAATGTTAATTAGGGAAACCTAACAGCTTGGGGAGAGCAGATAGTAATTTATTAATAATTGCTACCAATTAATCACTTACTATATGTCCTGCAGTGAGCCAAGCACTTTCCTTGAATGATCTTATTTGCAGAACAACCTTCAATGGTGAGCTTCTCACCAAAGCCACTGTCAGAATCACCCGAGGAAAAGTGGATCATATCACAGAGTCACCGGAATGTTAAAGGTTCTCTCTCTGCTAGGCACAGCCTCCCCGCTCTTCGAAGATTTGCCTTGAGTCTGCCTTTACCAAGCAGTAGTCCCCAGTTGCCTTAGGCATCCTTCAGTGTGTCCCTTATTTGAAAGGCCATTACAGAAATGATTGCTTGGCACTGTCATCAAAGGCTCTGCCAGACTCTCCGTACACGGTTTATATTTCCAGGACCTAGCCAGGACGCCAGTAAATTAGTGGCTGAAGTAGCGCCCATCTGTCTCTCTTCTAGACTGAATCTGCACAGCGCTAGCACGCACATTTCTCCACTAACTGCCCCACTGACCCCGGGAGGTAAGTATTCCTATTTCACAGCTGGGGAGACAATGTGGCCAGATTAATTAAATAATTTCTCCAATGTATGCCTGGCCTTTGATTCCTGTTTATGACAGTGTGCCTCGCCTCTCCCAGGCTGACGTCAATCAGAGTCGGAGGGGCATTTAGATGTTCTGTTACTATCTGCCTTACTGTAAGGTTTGAATATCTATATTTCAAGAACTGCTGTTACCACATGTCTAGCTGAAGTTTTGGGACCTATGTTCATGAGAAGAAGAAAATTATTTAAGATTCCCATTATCCTTAAAAAAATAGATTTTATACTTGAGAGGAGTTTTAGATTCACAGCGAAATTGAGCAGAAAGTACATAGTTCCCATAGAGCCCCCGATAGCCCCACCTCCACCCCAAACAACCTCCCTCACTATCAACATTTCCCGCCAGTACATTTGTTGCAACTGATGCACCTACATGGACTCATCATCGTCACCCAAAGTCCATTATTTACATTTGGGTGCACTCTGGGTGTTGTACATTCTATAGGGTTTGACAAATGTATGACATGTGTCCATCATTATAGTATCACACAGAGTCCTAGCTTCATTGCCCGAAAAATCCTGTGCTCCTCCTATTCATCCCTCCCTCCTCCCCCACTTAACCCCTGGCAGCCACTGACCTTTTTATTATCTCCTTGGTTTTGCCCTTTCCAAAACATCACATAGTTGGAATCATAACAATGTAGCTTTCCCAGAGTGGCTTCTTTCATTCAGTAATACATATTTAAGTTTCCTTCATGTCTCTTCATGGTTTGATACTTCATTTCTTTTTAGTCCATTCTCTGGATGTACCACCGTTTATTTATCCATTCATCTACTGAAGGACATCTTGGTTGCTTCCAAGTTTGGGTAATTATGAATAAAGCTGCTATAAACATCCATGTGTAGGTTTTTGAGTGGACATAATTTTTTGACTCATTTAGGTAAATATCAAGGAATGCAACTGTTGAATCTTATGGTGAGAGTACATACTGTGTACCAATTTATATTCCTTCCAGCAATGAATGAGAGCTCCTGGGGCTCCACATCCTTGCCAGCATTTGGTACTGTCAGTGTTTTAGACTTTGGCCATTCTAATAGACGTGCCTCCTTGTTTACATTAATCATTTTTACAAAGCATAACAGTTCATTATAAGATGAGTAAATTCTGGGGAATCTAATGTACAGCATTATGACTGTGGTTAACAAGACTTATTGTCTATTTGCAATTTGCTAACAGGGTAGATCTTAAGTGTTCTCGTCACACACAGAAAGGTAACAATGATTGATTGCAGTAATCATTTCACAATGCATATGTATATCAAATTGCCATGTTGTACACCTTAAACATATACAGTTTTTATTTGTCAATTATACTTCAGTAATGTTGGAAACAACTAAAATGAAAGTTTAACCATTCAGGTAGGAAACAATGGGATTTGTTTCCTAGTCTAGTCTACTTCCCTCTTTCCTTCTCTCCACCTCTACCATCTGACACACCCACTTCATCAATAAAAAAGAGAGGCCGGAAGAACTTACTGGTGGCAAGACAGAGATCAGAGCTCAAAGCTTCTAACTGATAATCTAATACTTATTCTACACATAATATTGCCTTTATTCTCTCATTTGGAAATTATACTTTTTGTAGTGGAGGTCCAAGAGACACAGACAATCAGGGTTAAGAAGTAGGTCTCTGTGCTCATAGATAATTGGTGCTCAAATATTTGTGGAGTGAATGACTATTCTCTCTGGGGGCCTCACTATGCTTTCTACATTAACAATGAGTTAATACAGTCCTCCAGGTGAGGCAGAGGAACTGTCGCCTACAGAATCAAGGACCTTACATGTAGACCTTGGAATCTGAGCTGTATTCCAGGAGTTTATATCAAAATTATGAGGTACTCCTGTTCTTTAAACAGGATAATTCTAATTCATCCTTACTTATTGAGGGATTCTTCCTTTCTGGGGAAGTGAAACTCCTCCTCCTTTCAATCAGGTTTCCTAAATTCTATTTTAATAGGATTTATGGAGGAAGCGATTCCATAGTCTAACCAATTTGGAAAATGCAGACTTGACAAAATTTGTCAATGTTGCCAGTTCCCTACCCCAAGCCCACGAGTGCCTTGTTCTCTGAGGCCACCAAGCCTTGGTAGCTACTGTTGCCTTTCTTGGGAACACCCTTCCTCTCTTAGTCCTCTTACTTCCTACCTGTCCTCTGAGCTCAGCTTGAGTCCCCTCAGGACTCTGTATGTATTAAATTCCCCACGGAATGAGACACGGGTATCAATAAAGACATCTGTAATAGCTACACAGGCCTCTTTCACAATTTTCATCGTCTTCTTTCTTCATCTCTGCACCCCGACCTCCTAGCTCAGGCTCTGGCACAGGGCAGGCTCTCAAAAGTTTGCGAGGCAGCCAGTGTTGCTGTTAAGAGCACAAGTGTTGGAATTAGATGGGTTCCCACGTTCAGATCCTGAGCTCGTTCCTTGACCTTAGTCTGTTGCTTAACCTGAGTCTCAGTTTCCTCATTTACCAAACGGGAATAAAATATTACCCCGGGTGGTAGATGGGAAATATTAAATAAAAAAACAAATGGAAAGTGCTTAGTGCCGCACACAACTGGTGCTATTAAATGGTAGCTATTACTTGTTGAATACGAGTCTAACAAGAATGAGAGCGGCACAGATCTCTTCCCAGGCTCTCTTCATCCCATTACACTCAGGAAGAGGGGGAGGGGGAGGCTCTTACCGGCTTTAACGATGAGACAAGTATCTTGATTACGTGAACAATTGACAGTGGTAGTGCAGTCATTAGCTGGGTTAATACAGCTGTAGCACTCCAGGCTGTGACCTAGGATCAGGAAGAATGCCCGTCAGAACCTGGTAGACCAGCAATGACTCACCCTGGCAGCAGAAGCAAGCCCACCAGCTCCATTAGTGTGGGTCAGAGGTCAGCAACTCAGAGTGGGCTTCCTTCCCACATATATCTGCAGCAGATGTATTTTTCCAAGCTCAAACTACAGTTCCAGCAGCAGTTTTTTGGACCCTGAGGCAAGTGCAAAGGGAATTTCCAGATTTCAAAATCCATTTAACTGTGCAATTGAGAAGCTTTTTCCTACTTTCAACCGGAAGTGATTAATCTGCAATGCAATGACATATTAAAAGGAATCCATTAAGAGGATAAACTAACAGAATTCTATAAACACCTTCCAAGCAATGAATATGCTCTATCACGTAACATTCTCACGGACTGATCATCAGTATTTGGCAGTACCTATCTGTGTGAAAAGACATGCTCCAAGACGAAATGCATGAAATCTCATTACAGATCAGTATTAACAGATGAACGTTTGCAACCAATTTGATGATGGGGAACACTAACTTTTGAATCCCAAGTAAGCAAAATGTTATTCTCCCAGAAAGAATTCCATTCTTCTCATTAGTAGATCTGTATTATAAATAATTGTACTCAATTATTAAATTTTTGAATTCTGCCAATTAAAAACTTGGAGAAATTTGTTTTCTCTCTTATTTATATAAAAGCCTACATAATATCCTTGATTTTTGTCTCTTGGCCTGCAAAGCCTGAAATATTTACTATCTGGACCTCTGCAGAACAAGTCTGATGGCCTCTGGGATAAGGCGTCCTCACTGCAGCTGTTCTCTGCTGAGGGACTGACCCATCGCCAGAAGCAAACACAGTCAAGGGGCAGGCAGCAGCCATACACTTTAAACCCATGTGGGTGGGAAGACATGCACAGTGACACTGAACACGAGGGTCGACTTATATCAGAAGCAAATGCCTCTGGTTCCCCAATTTGAAAAATGACTACCGCTCCCACTCATGTTCTTAGGATTCATCTTTGGTGGCTAGACTTCAAGTTTCACTGGATTATTTTCCCTTCTCTGTTTTTACAACAATGGTGATGGAAAAAGATGAGTCATATTCCACATCTGTGATGGGAAGAGTTGGAAGCAAGTTTTCCTGATTCATGTGGACATACTCTTTGCTACAATAAGAGATCACCTTCTTCTGGCCACATGGCTTCTGCCACGTAATCAGTATTTGGAAGTACCTATCGGTGTGAAAAGACATTTTCAAAGATGAAATATGTAAAACCTCATAAAAGAATGGCATGGTTAAACCAAGACGAAATGTGGGTTTTAGAACCCAAGAGCTGACTTTTAGTTCTAAGGCCAAAGTTCATCACCAGGAAGAGGAATTCTCCAAAGGCCAGAAGAAAGTGGCTCCTCACTTCCTGAGCACAGATAGGAGTGAAGCTCTCTATAACATCTTTTTAAAAAAATTAATTAATTAATTTATTTTTTGCTGCATTGGGTCTTCATTGCTGCAGGCAGGCTTTCTCTAGTTGCAGCGAGCAGGATCTACTCTGTTGTGGCGCGCGGGCTTCTCATTGCAGTGGCTTCTCTTGTTGTGGAGCACAGGCTCTAGGCACGCGGGCTTCAGTAGTTATGGCACACGGGCTCAGTAGTTGTGGTGCACGGGCTTGGTTGCCCTGCGGCATGTGGGAATCTTCCCGGACCAGGGCTCAAACCTGTGTCCCCTGCATTGGCAGGTGGATTCTTAACCACTGCGCCACCAGGGAAGTCCCTATAACATCTTAAATGGCCAGGTCAAACCTTCAGACAGAGGAAAGAGAGCTCACCTTTGGAACTTCTGTGAGGCAGAAATATTCACAGCTAACACAGTGTTCAAATACCTAAACTTTCAATCTTCAGAGAACTGCTATAAGAGGCAGGCTCAAGGATCTCCATCCCCATTTTTCAAGAGAAAATTAAGACCAAGATGTTAACTAACTTGTCAAAAGTCACACGGCTACTAAAAGGAGAGCTGGGACTCACACCCAGGCGATCAGTTCTGAAGCCCACGCTTGGTTTATTTACCGTGATGTTCTTCTAATTGTCCTGAGTGGGAAAGAGAAGAAACCAGGACCAGTTATGGGGGAGACCGGGTCAGGGGCAAAGCAATGAGTCAGTGGCTGTTTGATATTCTAGCTACTTAGCCAGGGTGGAGGGGATCTTCTTCACACTCCAACTCCCTCAGGAAAAACCTAAGTGCCCCCGAGACCCGTCACAGAACAGCTAACAGCGCCAAACCCAAGCCTGATCCATAAACAAGCGTAGACTGCTGGAAAGCAGGTATGACCAGGCTATTCTTCCTACAGAAAATTCACTGGGTAGAAGAATTAAGACAATAACGTATATTGTAACATAGCGGACCACATTACAAACCTCCGTGACTACAATCAACAGACATGGGGAGGGAGGGGGGTCGTGACTTCTGTCTTTTCTCAGAAAGGGAAAACTTGTGCAAACATGTCCTTGGGCTACTTTGTTCTTTGCTTCCGTTTCCTCAACTGTAAGATGGGCGTAATAGTACTGAGCCCTCACAGGATGGCTGGAAGGATTAAATGAGCCAGGGTCGGGTACAGGCCCTAGTACCTAGTAAGCATTCACCATATGGGAGCTACTAAAGCTACAAGCTCTAAGACATGCTCCAAAATGCAGATGCCTCTGTAGTGCCCACCGCATGGCTACTTCCTTTTCTGCCTCCTGTCCCCACCCCTCAAAAATAACAGTTAGTAGGGCTTCCCTGCTGGCGCAGTGGTTGAGAGTCCGCCTGCCGATGCAGGGGACACAGGTTCGTACCCCGGTCCGGGAAGATCCCACATGCCGCGGAGCGGCTGGGCCCGTGAGCCATGGCCGCTGAGCCTGCGCGTCCGGAGCCTGTGCTCTGTGGCGGGAGAGGCCACAACGGTGAGAGGCCCGCGTACCGCAAAAAAAAAAAAAAAAATAACCGTTAGTAGTACCAACGTGACATAGGCAGAAAATGACCTTTGATGTTTACGGTGAAGCAAAGCAAATAACACAGGTGTTCCTACTTTTACAGAGGTAACGAGGATCTCCAGCAGGCAGGGAGGGGTGGCCCCCGAGAAGGAGCTGGGGCAGACACTCTGGTGCCAGGCTTATTTGGGTTCAAATTCTGGCTGCACCACTTTGGTGTGATATTTTACAAGTTATTTAATCTCTTTGGGCCTCAGTCTTGTCACCTGTAAAATGGCAAGAAAAATAGTCCCTGCTCCACAGGGTGGACGTGAGGATTAAATAAGTAAATACATGTAAAATGCTGAGAATAGTGATTGGCACGTGAATGCTACAAGCAGCAGCAGCATCACACAGGAGAAGCCCAGGGCGGGCGGCTGGGCTCAGCACCCTAAAGATGGCATCCATCGGTAGCCCCAGCGGCGGGTGGTGAACGGGGTGAAACTTAAGCAGCTCAGTGTAATCGCTCCCCACTCAAGCAGCTCTGTCACCCAGGATGAACTGTAACTCAGGAAGGTGCTCCACTCAGGGTAGGGCCGTAACACAGGAAGGAGCAGTCACACCACCCTGGACCTGTAGCACTGATGGCGAAAGAACGGAAGCTCGGCCCGAGGTCTGTGGCATCAGCTTGGTCTTCCTGAGGCCTAAGAAAAAGTTTAGGGCCGAGGCGGCCTACCTGATCCAGATTCACGTCCCTGTGGACCACTCACCTACATGGCAGACGACAGCCAGGCTGAACAGGAGCCCGAGCAAGGCGAACCCTCCTTTGCTTCCCATTGTGACCGGCTACAGATTCTGGAAGAAAGGAGCACAAAGCATGGTCATGAACCAACAGGTGATTGCCGGGTATCTCAGAAACCAAGAGGTGGAAGGCCTGGGGGCTTCAGGAAACATGGGAAGGAGTGAGCAGACCAAGAAAGCAGGGAATGTCCGGGCTGGGTGCGATGAACCTAGGGTGCTCTCAGGTGGGGCCGTGCTTGGTCCCTCCCTGGCTGAGACCTCGGCTTACTGAAGAAATGCTGCCGGGCCTGGTAGGAGGGGCAGCTGCAGGGAGTCAAAGCACACCGGGCCCACCCCAGCTCTCACCTACAGTAGCCGTGCACCCTTGAATAAATTCAGTTCCTCTGAGCCTCAGTGTTCATGACTGAGCAGTGGGACAGCACTGTCTTCCCCCTCAGGGTCGCTGACTCAAATGAGAATATTAACAAAGTACATAATGCAGCACCTGCGATTTCAGCTCTGCAGGCCCCACCCCCAGCTGCTGGCTGAATTGAGCCTGAGCCCAGTGAGGGCCACTTCTCCAGGCCACGCCACTAAGTGCATCAGATGGAAGGGGTAACTCTGGAGGGCACCAGTGTGCCTTCAGAACAGGAAGCAAAGGCTTAGCGTGCACAGAAGCTCTGGCTCCCCACCTCCTCCTTAATCACTCTGGAAAAGTAAGGAGGGGTTCCAGGTACCTCTGGTGATAAGTCCCCATTACATTAATGCCTAGATGTGTGGCAGTGAGCATCAGGGGAGAAGAGGGGAGGGCTGAAACACCTTGAACCCTCCTTTTACCTGAGCAGGAGGCCAAGACACAGGGAGGGTTTTTTTTTTAGACTTTATTATTATTATTATTATTATTTTTTGCGGTATGCGGGCCTCTCACTGCTGTGGCTTCTCCCGTTGCGGAGCACAGGCTCCGGACGCGCAGGCTCAGCGGCCATGGCTCACGGGCCCAGCCGGTCCGCGGCATGTGGGATCCTCCCGGACCGGGGCACGAACCCGTGTCCCCTGCATCGGCAGGCGGACTCTCAACCACTGCACCACCAGGGAAGCCCTATTATTTGTTTTTTAAAGATTTTTTTTTTATGTGGACCATTTTTTAAGTCTTTATTGAATTTGTTACAATATTGCTTCTGTTTTGGTTTCTTTTTGGTCCTGAGGCATGCGGGATCTTAGCTCCAGGACCACGGATCGAACCCACACCCCCTGCGCTGGAAGGTGAGGTCTTAACCACTGGACCACCAGGGAAGTCCCCACAGGGAGGCTTTTAACTTGCCTAAGTCCAAATCATGAGCAGTAGATCTAAGGAGTCTCCCGACCCTACCCCGACTCCCCTGAGGCCATCCTCCAACGAGGAGGCAGCAGCTGCCCCAAACCAGGGCAGCTCCACATTCTATTCTCCTGGGCCGCACAGGCCAGGATTTCTGCCTGGTAGACAGACGGGGCTCTTGGTGGGTGGGCCCTGCCCTCCTCTGGGTTGGAAATGGCATCTCTCACACCTCTGAAGGTCATGTGATGCTGAGGAGTTGGCTGAGGAAGGCCGGGGAGAATTGGGAAGCGAACAGGGCAGGGCCTGGCATTGCCCAAAGAAGACGCCATTGAGTAAAGCCACGCCCGGGAGAGAGACAGGTTGCTTGCTGACGTGTGGGAAAGTGGGGAGAAAATCTAACTGGGCCTGGCCTTTCTTTACAGGTTGAATACCCCCCACTTCCCTCTGGTACCTGCAACACCTACCACAGCCTACTAATGCCCCCCGCCACCGGGCTGACCCTCCCGGGGCGTAGCTGCCCACAGCACCCCTGTGCGGTGAGGACCTGAGGCTGCCCGAGGCCAGCGGTCAGAAGCTCAGACTGGGCTGGCGAAGACCTGGACATGAGGTCTGGCTCTGCCATGGCTACCGAGCCTCGTTCTCTTCACCTATGACAAGGGGCAGGTACATGGGCGCTTTCCCACACCAGGAGACTGAAGTGAGATAAGTTAACTATGTGCTTGACAGTCACAGAAAAGTGGTGGCTGTCACCGCTTCCTACCTCACCCTGGACTCCCTTCCTGACCACACCCAGATTTCCTGCCCAAAGTCAGGCACGTCCATACCTCCGGGTCAGACTATTGGCCTCTCCAGGCTCTCTTGTTCCCTGAGCCTGAGAGATGGAGGCAGCAAGGTCTCTGCATCCTAATAGCTCAGGGAGAGGCCCCTGCCCCTCCTGCCAGCACCTGACGCCCCTGCAATGCCGTCTGTTGGGAGCCAGATGGGTCAAGGGAGAGAATCACAGCGTTCCCGCGCCACCAACCCCCCAGCCAGTGGCCCAGGCCCAGCACACCCCAGCTCCCTGCCTGGTTCCTCATGCTCGGGGGCATCTGGGTAGAAAGGATGATTCACACACTCAGCTTAGGCAGGCCTGGGGCTGGGAAGAAGTGCTGCGAGAGAACAGGAGAGGAAGGCACCCATCTGAGGTCCCCGAACAGGGACGCGGAGAGCATCAGACTCTCCCTAAAAGTTAAGAACATCTGCTTCCTCAGGTAGCCCTACTGGAGGAGGAGGGAGGGACCTCCTGACGGGGGCGGGTAGGTGCTGGAAGGGCGCCGGGCTGGCAGGAGCTGCAAGCTCCAGGAGACTTCCCTTGGAATGGTCCTTGGCATGAGTAACACCATTACAACAAAGAGGGTGCAGCGCAGTGAACTCGCCCTTGATGACACGCATCAGAAAGAAGGGTCTACTAAGAAAGGCTCATCTCTTAACAAAAGCTGCAGAAACGGCACAGTGAACTGGTCTAGGGACAGGCTTTCTCGTCGACCGGTGAACAAAGTCTTGAATATTTCTGGCTCTGCCACTTATTGCCGTGTGTTACTCAACCTCTGGGCCTCCCTTCTTCACCAAGTAAACACAGGGATAATCACAAGTACTGCACAGCATGGTGCCTGGCCAAAGAAGGCCCTCAAAAAGCAGTAGCCACCATGAGTATCACTGGGAAGTCCTGAGGTTCCCAGGAAAAGAAATTGGGCAGGGAGGGGGTGTTGGCGGGTGGAGGGTGTGGCAGAGACAGGAAGTGATCAGTGTACGGATGTTGAGCTGTTCGGATCGGAAGACCAGGTCTTCATTAACCACTACTAAAATATGAATTTCCAAGAGCGATATGTTGTTATGAAATGGCAGGGGTGGGGGACAGAAAATAGCTGATTGTTTTAAAGCTATTTTATAAATGCCCCCAAAATGCTGCTGATAGTAGTAAACACTAAGCAGGATTATTTATAATCTCTTATTTCTCTTCCTGACCTTTTACTTTTTGCCATACCTCCCCAAATATTCTATAATGAGCCAAGCATTATTTTTATAATTAGAAATAGGAAACTCCGCACATTACAAAACTTTCCCTTTTAGTAGTCATAGATCACCTGTCTTCTGGCAAGTCTGTTACAGAATTAAAAAGAGAACCGCACCTCATGGCTTGAAACTCTTCCCCCTAGTCTAAAACATCCTCCATTTTAAATTTAAAAATGATGCCCGTAAGTTAAGTGTAGATCAGATGGTAGATGAACCGAGCTGCCGTTACTTTTTCAATCCACCCAACCAAACACTTAGATGCAAGATGCATCCAGAAGACCTCATCACTCTTTTCTAAACATATTGAGACTCATTTAAATGGATTTAATTATTGGAAACAGCCCAAAGTCATTCTGCCTCCCATCCAAGTAGTAACCAGGCCCGACCCTACTTAGCTTCTGAGATCAGATGAGATGGGGCGCGTTTAGGGTGGTATGGCCGTAGACGCAAAGTCATTCTGGAAAAGGTGCACAGAATAAGATAGGTGAGCCTATTGGAAAACACCATTTGGGAGTCATAGGACACGTCTGGAGCCAGCCTTAGGAAGTCTGGACAGATTTTCCTGGGTGGCTCTGAAGTTGGACAGATTAGGAAGTCTGGACAGATTTTCCTGGGTGGCTCTGAAGTTGACTCTAAAGGGAATTCCTTCAGGGGCACGCCAAATAGGCTTTTCACCAGAGGAATAAGTAACAGTCAAGGATATATAAGCATTGTTTAAAATAGTAAAAATTTGGTAACATACATTTCCAACAAGAAGATGAGTAAATTATGGTACACTTCCATGGTGGGGAACTACACAGCCATGAAGAGTAACAGACATGGAAGGCTATTCACAATGTATTAAGAAAAAAAGCCAGTTTAAAAATAGCTATAATTTTATTACTTTGTCTTAAAAAAAAATACACACACACACACACACACACATATATACACACTCGTATAAAAAAATGCTTGGAACACCTTCCCACTTTTCCGAAAATTTTGGATCATGGGATTAACAGCATGGTAGAATTATGAGCATCTTATTTATGCTTAAGTATATTTTCTTAACAATGAACCTTTTTATAGAAAGAGCTCTCAACATGAGTGAAGAATATTTTAATGTACTTAGGTGTCATTTCACTTGCAGCTTAAGTTTTAATTTTTCTACTACTCCACCTGATTAAGTATTAAAAATATATACCACCTTTCAAAATTTGCTACATTAAGGTAAAAAATATTTCATGGGTATATATTCTCCTATGTCTAAAAATAGTTATTTTAGTCACACCCTATATTTGTAAAAAAAAAAAAAAAAAAATGAGGCTTGTGTGATTTTCTAGTTGTCCTGAAAGACCTATATTCTAATCCCACTCTGCTGTCAATTTATATAACCTTAATGCAGCCAACTACTTTACTTCAGTTCCTAATTTGTGAAGTGGTAATAATGATTTTATAGAATGATAAAATATAAAAATAAGACTTGAGGGTTTTAAAGCTCACTATGGGCTAAAATGTTACGTGGCACTTTAAGGAACAGACAAATGCACACACAATCCTGGGGTTACTCTGTCCTGGGCTTAGACCTGAGCTGGAAATAATATTTTTACTATTAGGTGCCAGATTTCTGAATTTCTTCCAGTTTATCGGGACAGCAAAGTACACAGCTGTAAAAGCCAGGAGAAACAGTTGGGATAAACCAGGGCTGTCCTATTTGGAAAAGTATAGTCAGAGACAGTAACCATCTTCAAATAGGGTAATGGCCACCAAGGAAGAGAGGGAGAGGTTATTCTGTGTAATTTACAAAGACAGCATTAGGATCAATTAGGGAGGCATTCTGAGCTTCCTAAGAGCAACTGCTTGCTATCACTCCACCCCTCCCTCCCTCCCTGCCATGTGCCAGGCACTGTGCAAAGTGTCAGCACATATGGAAATCAATTCCCTGGTGAAATGTGAAAAACTCCCCATCACTTGGAAATGTTCACACAGAGAGCAGAGATCACAGATCAGAGATGATGCAGAAAGATGCCAGCAGAAAGCAGCAAGGGGTTAAAACAAAAGATCTCTGAAGTACTAGAGATTCTCATCCTACAATAAGAACCAACCTGATCATTATTTATTCATTTCCATCCACCTGAGATGTAAGGGGAAGCTACAAGTTGCAAGGTGATTTACAAATACAGGCACCCCTAATCAAGTTCCTGAAAATGTTTTGGGTAGCCAGTTTATGGACAGTGTAAGCCTATATTCCATTATTTTAAATAGGAAAACAAAGACGTGTTGCCGTCCATTCAAAGACCCCAGCCAGTCCCCCCAAATATCTATCTATCTATCTACCTATCTATGTATCTATCTATCTATCCATCTAAACAATCGAAATAAATGTGAACATAAAATATTTAACACACCAATGACCCAACAAACTGAAGGAATCCATCGGTGCATATATTTACTCTACGAAGTAAGTTCAGTCTCGGCACCTACCCCCCAGTCATCTCCACAACGGTCATTTATGAGCCCACTGTGAGCTGAGCAGGTGCCATGCTAGGCACTGGGCTACAGTGACTGCTGAACCAGGCGAAGCCCCACTCTCAAGAACCTTACAATCTAGCGGAGGTGGACACCAACTAACACTAAAGACCAGGAAGAAAATAACATAGGGTAAAAGTATTGGTTCTCTAGCTTTAGTGGGCATCAGAATCACCTGGAGGGCTGTTAAACACAGATTGCTGGGCCCTGACCCTCTAAGTTCTGATTCTGCAGGTCTTGGGTGGGGCCCAGTTAGAAATTAGCATTTCTAACCGGGGACCACACTGAGCTGAAGATTCAAAGAGTGAGATGGACTTTGCCCACCCATGGGGATTCTGAAGACAGAGCAAGGGGGTCACAGCTGAGGCATACAGGTGGCCTCTAGGAGTGAAGAATGGTCCTTAACTGACACTCAGCCAGGAAATGGCACCTCAGTCCTCCAACCCCAAAGACTGTACTGTGCCAATAGCTTGAATGGTCAAGGGGACAGATTCTCGCACAGAGCCGCCAAAAAGGAACACAGCCCTGCTGACACGTTGATGCGAGCCCAGTGAGGCCCGGGTCAGATTTCTGACAGATGGAACTGTAAGATTAATAAATTTGTGTTGTGTTAAGCCACTAGGTTTGTGGTGATTTGTTTCAACAGTAATAGAAAATGAATACACCAACCTCAGAACTGGTACGTGGCAGAGCAGCATTTAAACCCAGGTCTGAGCTCTTAACCGCAGTTAAACTCTCTGGTGGGGAAACTTCTTGTGAATTCAGCTTCTGAAATAAATTGGTTAACACAGGCCACCAGAGAAGAGATTTTACATTGGCAACGTTGCCACAAGATTCACAGATGCCCGGCAGTATAGTTTCTGTTCCTGGGAGCCTGGAGCCTCAGAGGCTGATAAACTTTAAGGCTAGAAGTATTCTCAAAAATTAAACCCAACGTTCCTATTTTATAGGACATTAATGGAGGCCCCAGGGGATGAAATTACCCATTCCCAAGGCAACAGGTTAGTTGCAAAGACACACTGGGTGGATCTCCCTTCTGTTTACCAGGGGCCAGTAACTCACAAGTAGCTTAACATTACCTGGAGGCCAGTAGTGTTAGTGGCTTGGGGCTTTGCCTCCTTATCACCTTGTACACACACAGCCTGGCAAGCTGAGAAGATCACTGATCTTACACAAAGATCACTCAGTTCAGAGAAGTCATTACTTCAGCAAGTAGAGACAAACAGAAAGCCACCATCATAATGAACAGCCCCTCCCAGTTACTCTGAGGTGCCAGAGACAACCATCTCAGAACTCTCTAAACTACACAAATCGGAAGCTTCCTCAACAAGGAAGGGCCTTCCTTGCAATTTGTTCCAGGAACTCAAGTCTCTAGTTCTCCAAAGAGGGCCCTTTCCAGACAGCTTCGTCACGGCCCTGCCCTTTGAGATTGTACGTGGAGAGCCAACTGTGTAGTGAAGATATTTCACAAGATATAGGGTGTAGTAATAACATGTCCTCTGCTTCGGAAATTCTCAAGCACCTCTGGGCTTGGTTTTGTTTATGGCGTCTTTGCTCGTGAGGTTCTTCTGGAGCTGGCCCAGAATTTTTTATGCATTTCTTTTCAAGAGCTTGTACCTGCAGCTGTCAAAGCTGAATTCCATTAGACACCCGCTCTCCACACTCTAACATCCATTTTTATTTGGACTTTTACCTTACAAGCTACTCAGCATAATGAGGTGTTTTCCTTATAGTTTTCTGTTTGAAAATACAGAAGCCATAGTTTCACACATTTGGTCCACAGTCAGGCACCTCCCTCAATTAACGTTCTGAGCTGTATGTGCCTTCCTTAGAGAACTGGGAGTAAGCTGCCCCCAACGGGGAACATGGGTACCGAAACATTAACAGCCACATTTGTTCTCCGCTTACCAGGTGCGCACAGAGTCCTTTCCACGAATTATCTCATAATTGGTGAGATATTCGTGTCCTTATAACACCCTAAGAAGTAAGGCCTGTTATTTTAGCAATAAGAAAATGAGGTTAAATAGCATGCTCAGCATTACGCAGCCAGTAAGAGCAGAGCCAAGGCTCAAACTGGTGCCAAGCCCAGGCCCTTGACCACACATGAACTTCATCACTTCTCTGCAAGCAAACCATGTCAAATTGTACTTATTTTAGGAGCATTCCAGAGCCATCATCACCGACAGATGAAGCTAGACAACGGAGAGCAAGGTGGTAGGAAAGAGCTGTTTCCCTGATCTGTGATTCTCAGAATTGCACACAAAGTAATCTTCGGATTATCTCGCCTGTATTTGAGGTCTCTCCCTCCTTTTCAAGAAATGTCTATCATCACAAGCAACCCTGATATGGTGTGGGCTATGTCTCTAGGTTTGTAAAACGTATGGGCTGATTTGTTTAGAATGAAATAGAATTATTGCAGTTGAGAGTGGTGGGCAGGTCTCAGCTGGAGCCCCCTGATATCCTTAAAAAACTGGCCAAGAACAGGATTTTTAAAAGAATCAGCTGGCCAAGAATCAGGAGGCACTTTCAAAGCGGACATGAGGCATTATAGGAAAGAAGGAAAGCACTGGTCAAAAGGAAAACCGGAGGAAGCCTGGGCCAGAGCCTTCACTAGGTGGCAACCAGGCCAAATCGCTATTTCACAAAGACTCCGAGGGCACGGACGAGATCCGAGTTTCAGAAGTCACACAACTACCGCCAGGGTGAGTCACAAATCCCAGCTCTTCGTGTGAGTTCCGGGATAAGGGGTGAAGCCACCTACGTCAGAGGAGAAATGGAACGTTACCTGGTACATTTCCAGGATCCATGGAGAAAACCACTACTTAACGTTTCCTTAAGTCTGCCGTTAGACTCTATGAAGGGTGCGGCCCAAGCTGGCCCAAGCAAACTAAAATTGGACTCAAAATGTCTAAGTCACGACCCCACCCTGCTGTTTAAAACTCAAAATTTAAACCTCCAGAGGAAGAGAAGAATGTCCATAACTTCCAGGGATGGCATTAACCTCCTTTCAAGGTGCGATGCGATTTCTTTTCCCTAAACTGCAAGAGCTTCCCTTCAGATTCAAATTTCGAAACAAATACTCCCAGGAGAATGGAGGGCAGGGCCCGCGGAATTGGGGGTGTTTTGGAAAGCGCGCCCGCTCCCCCCTGCTCGTTGGTCGTATACAAAGGAATCACCAGTTCTGCGGGCCGCGGGCGGGGGGAAGGGCGCCGGATCTCGCCGTCCCTGGGCGCGGAGGCCGGCGCAGGGTGGGCACGGCCCTCTCGGACCCTCCAAACCCCCCAGTCCCGCGATGGCAGGGGCCCGGGCCCAGCTGCCCGTTGGCGCATGCGCCGGCCCAAATCCCCGAGTGCCGGACTCGGAGCGCGGCTCCGCTCCCCTCCTGGCCCCCAGACCTCACCTTCCAGCCCCCGTCGTCCGCTTCTGCGCGGGTACGCCTGCTAGGGTCGTCCAGTCCCGTTATATCGCCTCGGCTGGGGCGGGCTCCGCCTCCTCCCGCCGGCCCCACCCCGACCACACTCCGGCCTCGCCCTGCGCGCCGCAGTTTGCCAGCGAAGGTCACCCGAGCCGGCGCAATTGCGGGCTCCAGGACCCGGTGCAGAAAAAGCCCTGTGGCCAGGACTAGATTAAGACCTTTATGATAAAACACTGAAACGGAAAGTTTATGATGTTCTTCCTCCGACTTGTTATCGAAAACAAAAACAATATGAAACTCCAACACTTATGAATTTTCCTCCTTTGTTGAAAAAAATATGAAAATGTTTTTCAAAATGTTTGTGTGCCCTTGCCAAGCTCCCAATTGGCCTGGCTGTCGGGTTAGCCAGCCTGGCTGCAGCCTGAGGCTCCTTTCTGCTCCCGGGCTCTGGTAGCCTCCAAGTACCCTTCAGCCATAGTCACCTCTGTGACTTGTTTGGAACAGAGATGAAATTCTGCTGTGGGTTTTTTTTTGGGGGGGGGAAGGGGAGGCGTGCCCTGCAGCTTGTGGGATCTTAGTTCCCTGACCAGGAATGAAACCCACGCCCCCTGCAGTGGAAGCCGGGAGTCTTAACAGCTGGACCGCCATGGAAGTCTCTAGAACGTTATTTTTAGGTGAAGATGTAATCTGAAGTTTCTGGTTATCACTTTGTCACTACCCACTGCAGAACCGGCTTAAAGAGGGCCATACAAGGGGGAGTGGGAAAAGCAGGCCAAAAGTACAGGTCTTTCTCCAAGAGATTGACCTCTATTGGGGACTGTGAGACTCCTTGAGGATCAGGGTAAGAAGGTATTGCATCTCAGGACTGCTCATGTTGAATCGGGAGCGGATGAACCCATGACAAAGTTCAAGCAGGGGAAATCGTATGACAACTGATCATGACACGTGCCTTCTACCATGATCCTCTGATGGCTTTGGGATGTCAGGGAATGAATTTCATTTGGTGGTGCCTTAATCTTGGTTTTTCTCTATACAAACAGTATTCTCAAATCAGAAAGATTTGCTTTGATATTTAAAGTGTGTCTGCTTAAATCAGCTAATACATGTGTTTCCTATGATAGCTTTACAAAGCTCTTCCACATGCATTTTCTATGCATCCTATAAGCGCTTCCCTCCTTTAAACTCTCTTGGGTTCTGAGATGCCACTCTCTCCTGGTTTTGCGTCTAGTTCCTTGACCTTTCGGTCTTGAGATTCTTTTGTGTGTGTGTGGTTTTTTTTGCGGTCCGCGGGCCTCTCACTGTTGTGGCCTCTCCCGTTGCGGAGCACAGGCTCCGGACGCGCAGGCTCAGCGGCCATGGCTCACGGGCCCAGCCGCTCCGCGGCATGTGGGATCCTCCCGGACCGGGTCACGACCCCGCGTCCCCTGCATCGGCAGGCGGACTCCCAACCACTGCGCCACCAGGGAAGCCCTCGGTCTTGAGATTCTTTTCCATTACCCCCTCATAATGTGGTGTTGCCAGGGTTGGACTGAGAACCATGGCTGTATGTTTTCCCTGGGAGACTATAGTGCACCCACTGTTTTACCTTGGGAATACAGTTGGCCCTCCATATCTGTAGGTTCGGCCAACCAACTGCAGAATATGCAGTTACCAAGGGCTGGCTGTATGACACCATTTTATATAAGGGACTTGAGCATGTTTTGGTATCTGTGGAGGTCCTGGAATAAATCCCCTGCGGATACCGAGGCATGACTGTATGTATGTTTGCAGATGATTAGCAAATCTTTATTCTCCAGTCCCGACCACTCCCTGGATCTTCATATTCATATCCAACTGATTACTGGACAACTCCATTTGTATGTCCCACAGACACCTTGAACTCAAAATGTGTCCAAATGTTCCACTGCTTTTCCTGCAATTTTTTTTCATAAATGAAGCCCCGTACCTGGAATCAACTTCTATTTCTTCCACTCCCACACAGGCAATCACCAACTCCTGCCTATTTTATCATTTAGCTACTTCAATTTCATCCTCTCTTCACTCTACTCTTACTGATACTGCCCTAATTCATGCCTGTAGCATGTCTTACTTGGGCCATTACAATTCCTTCATACCAGGTTTACAGGCTGCCCATGTTAATACCTGCATCTCTTGCCCCTTCTCTACTTTTGCTCCTGCTGGAGACCTGGCTGGTTTACCTCTCTCCAGCCTTATGATTGACTTTTTACTTTCCATTTAATTTTTCCCTTTTCTCGTCATCCTTCCTGGAATACAATATGACTGCAGTTGCTATCTTGCAGTCATGAGGTGACCTTAAAGATTAAAGTCTGCTACGAATGGTAGAACAGGAAGATGGAAGGAACCTAGAATGTTGACACCATTGGGCCACCTTATCAGTCCTGAGCTAGTTACTTTCTACTTTTCACAAGAGAAAAAAAAAACTCTAAGCTATTTAAGCTCTGGTTTATTTACATATCTGCCTCATCCTGATACATCAAGCTTCAGACAAATGAGTAAAAGATAAGTGGTTTTCTGAATGGACCTAGGAGCCAGAAATGGGCTTCACTCCACCAAAAGCAGTCTGATCAACTGTTAGATCCCTTTTCTGTGTGAATACACATTCTTGCCAATGAAATAAAACACCTGAGGATGTTATCAACTAATCAATCACACCTTAGTAAGAAATAGAGACCATTCATTCAACATACTAAGAGAATGAATTCTGATGGAAGGATAAGCAAGCCTGAAGCATTCTGAGGAGCAAGGATTGGATGGGGTGGCAGGGAGATTTGGGACATCATGAGTACTCTGGGAACTGAGAGAAGAGAGGCCATTCTGAAAAAAGAAAGATGCAAAGAATGGCAAGGTATCCTGGCTCCAGCTTTAACTTCCAACGTTAACTAGTTTTAATTAAATCACTACTTTACTGGGGAAGTTTATTTTTCAAAAAACCAGTGGTTTGATTAAAAAAAAAAAAGGATAGGCATAATAGATTTGGGAGCCTATTTGAAAAGAAATAAGCAGGAAAAACTACTTACTCCACTTCAGAACATTTTGACATGTGCCAGTATGAAAGACTAAGTTTGCCTTCATGGTCCCTGATGGGAGTTGCTTAATCCTGTATATACCTCCCTCTTCCTACAGTTTTCCCTACAAAAGAACTGTTCCTGGGCGAAGTGCGAGGTGGAGTACATGACAGAGTATCGTCAAAGCCAGGAAATGACTTTGAATGGGCCTCTGGCAATAGGCCAATGAGTTTTGATCTCATCTTCCATCTTAAGAGCAAAGGCTTATTAATATTAGTTTATGGGAAATAGGCAATTATACAAAATACAGGATCGGAACCAAAATATGTTTTCAAAATGTGAGTTTTTGACACTTGGAGGATTTCATTCCAAACTCTCAATTACATAATTACAAAAAAATCCATGTTTTAGGGAAACATACTTAATCTTAACTTAAAATTCATGTCACTTATCACAAAGTTAGACAGTCAAGTATATAGAGGGGAAACAAAACAGAAGCAGTATTTTCAAATTTAGACTACATGAGATATTGTGAAGAATCTTTTGTTAATAAGCAACACAATACATACTTTTACACAGTACACTTCAAAAATGATGCATCTGTGAACAACATGATAAAGTTCATAGTGTTGAAGACTTTAAGTTCAAGGTTGGCAGAGTTGAAGACTAAATTCAAGGTCAAAGTCATACTGATAGACTTTAAATTCAAGGTTGTTGTGACAAAAACTCTAAATTTAAGGACAGATTGTCTAAGAAAGGACAACTAGCATTCAAGCTATTTAGTCAATCAGTTCCCTGTGAGTACAAAATATACAGGACTCACTAAATGGATTAGCCTAATTACAAATTCTGTTCATCTCTAAATAACTTATGTCTTTTCACAGAATCATTCAGTCACAGTTTCTCTCTATCCTTGTGTAGGTATTTCTGCTTCATTTTAAATCCTTATTCTACTCCCTCCCATTTCCATATTTTTATAAGTATAAAATATCTTTAAACAAAAAAAAGTCTGTTCCTTAGCTAGAGAACTATTCTCCCACTGACTTCTAGAAGAGGAAAAAAGGATTCCCATTTCCTCCTCTACCTCAAAAACACTACGCAAACTCAAACAATCCAGCTCCTAAAGTAGTGTCGTATAGAACCCAGGTCCTGGCACAATATTTCATGCTAGTTTTCCTGCTATAAGCTGAGAACAATTTAGTTATTTACATTACTGAGAAATCTATTTAACAGGCTGATTCACCCCGGGGCTTCCATCAGCAGAGGCTTGCTAAAAAAGGCGAGAGCAGCGGCGTCTCCGAATGGGAACGTCAAAGACTCTCCTCCGTCTCTCCTCCTCGTCATCTTCATCAGATTCATCCATATCTGCCGAATCATCATCATCGTCTTCCTCCTCCTCCTCCTCTTCTTCCTCTTCCATCTCTTCATATTCATCAGGACCCATTTCCTTGAAAGAGAAAACAATCTTTTGATAAGAACTTCCATCAGTTTTTTGACTCTTATTTAATATAAGTTCTCATTTACCTAGAATCTAAACAACTGGGCATGCCAAATATGAATTTTTATAGACTTCTCAGAGAATGTTTATAGATTTTTAAAATAGAATTTTATAGCCTTTTATACATTTTCATGATGCACATGCTGATGCAAATTCTAGAGTATATATTCTATCACGTTTTAAAATGCTCAATGTGGTTTTAATGGTAAATATATTTCATCAGTATAGTACTTATTTTTTACATGGTGGTTGGTAATTCACACAATGTAGCAAACAGACCACTCCTAACAGCCCAAGATAAAATTTTACTGAACTTATTAGTGTACTGAATAACAATTCTTTATTAACCTACATGCTTACAGAAAAGAGGATCTGAAAATATTGCTAAGGTATGACCTCTACTGGTAAGTTTTATGTACTGTCAACAGGATGTCTGAGATTTCTATTGAGCTCCTAGTATAAAGACAATCAGCGTCGGTAGCCTCTGCTTTTAAATTAATTTGTTGAAGGCTCTCAGAATAAGGCAGTAGTGATGTTGAACATCCAATATCTGAACATCTCTTGGGAACTTCAGTTCCTTTTAAGCAGTGTCTCTAATTGAGTCTTGACCCATTCTGCTGTTGGTTTTCTCTCTCACACATTTGAAGACTCAGTGAGAGGACCTCCTGTATTGGACAGAACTCTGAACGGCAAGGAGGACCTAGCTGGTAATGTGGCAAGTATTGGGAAACTTGGGATGTGATGGCAGCAAAAGTCCTTCCACCAAGGCTTTTATGGCATTGCATATGCAGCATCCCACTACCCCGTGATCGAGTCTCTAACCACTCTCCCCTGTTCACTGCCCTCCAGCTACAGTGGCCTCCGTGCAGTTCTTCAGACGTACCAAGCACATGAGTGCTTCAGCACCTCTGTACTTGCTGTTCTTCTGCTTGGAACACCCTTCAACCACACATCCACCCAGCTCCCTCTACTTCTTTCAAGTCTGAACTCAAATGTCACCAAGGCCTTCCCTGACACATCTTTATATCAGAACAACCCAACAGTATACTCCTTAGCTCCCTTACTCTGATTTTTCTCCCAGAGAACGTATTACTACTTGACATAAGTGAGGAGTGTGTATTTGCTACACTTTGTCTCTTCCAACTAGAATGTAAATTCCAAGCCAGAGATTTTTTTTTAATCTCCTCAACTTTCTTCTTTTTTTATTTTTATTGAGGCATAATTGACATACAACATTATATTGGTTTCAGATGTACAACATAATGATTCCATATTTGTATACATTACAAAATGATCCCCACAATAAATCTAGTTAACATCCATCACCTTACATAGTTACAGGGCTTTTTTCTTGTGATGAGAACTTCTAAGATCTACTCTCTTAGCAACTTCCAAATATGCAGTACAGTGTTATTAACCATAGTCGCCATGCTGTACATCACATCCCTGAAGGCAGAGATTTTGATTATATCGTTCACTGCATTTTCCCCAGCACCTAGTAGGTACTCAATAAATATCTGTTGAGCAAGCAAATTAATTAACGTGGGGGAAAGGAAATGTCCTTTAGAATTTGTCAAAGGAACTGTCACTTGGGATTTATTATAACACTAACAACAACAATCAGAGAAAATATACATAACTATATTTCATTACTTTTATCTTTTGATTTTTTTAATCTGGGAAATAAAGACTTTAAAATTCAGTAGAAGGTACAAAAGGGGGAGAGGATTAAGGCTTAGGAAATTCTGAAACATTAAATCCAGGTAGTATGATTATTAATTATCTTAAGGAAGAAACCAGAAAAACTGTTAAAGAAATCAATGTAGCTAAAGAGGGAGATTGCTGATGATCTCAGACAAAAGTGTACATATACAAACAGTAGATGGAAAGAGGAACACACAGACAAGAATGGAAATAAATAAGCAGCAGGAGCCTCTCAAGTGTCCAAAAACAAACTACCTAGACCAAGAAAAGGCTTAAGACCAACCAAAAAACGTTTTATAGCAACATTCAAAGTATAAAGCAAAAGGAAGTATTAAGTATGATAATATATGGCTAGTGGACAAATAAGGGGAACAACTCAACTTCCATATCAAAAAAACTAATTTTTAAACAGGAAAGGTACAATACAAATAAACACAATACAAATACAGTCCCCACTGCCTCTTTCATGTTGATTAGAAATAAGTCCAGAATTCTCATTTCATTTTATTGAGTTCTCATCCTCGAGAAAGAGAAAACATTTTCCACAAGGCAGATCAAGATTTTATATGCTTCTTTGTGGTTGGGAGGAAACTAAAACTCTTAAGTAAGAACATAGTTAAGAGAGGGTCAAACATGTAATGAGTTTATTATTGTAATTTGAAATTATAAATTTAAAAATTTTAAACTTTAAAAAAGGAATAATATTATAAAACTTCTCAGTTTTAATTTTTAACATGATAAATGTCATATAACCCATATAAGCAAGAGTTCTTTGGAGTCCTCAATAACTTTTAAGAGCTGAAGGGGATCATGAGACGGCAAAGTCTGAGAACTACTGTCCTTAAGTAAAAACTACTCTATCCCCACCCTAACAAACATTGAAAACAAGCCTCAACAGGATCGACTGACCCAACAGTAACTGCGCAAACTACCTGTGCAAACAAATGTCAACACTCTTTATGCTTTAGGTCAGGAATATATAGCAACTTTAGGGCAAGGAATATTGCCATAGATAGAGATTTTATAACAATAAAAGAAGCACTTCATTAAAAACATGTAACAATGCTAAACATATTTGCATATAATTAAAATACATGAAGCAAATTAAAAAGAGAATAAAAATTCAGAATTAAAAAAATAGACAAAACTGTAATTATAGTTGGAGATTACAACAATCATCTCTCAGAGAACACACACACATACAAAAGATCAGTAAATATATAGAAGACTTGAAAAACAGTCAACCAATTTGACTTGCCATTTATAGAATTAATATTCCCCCAAATATCAGAATATACATTCTTTTCAAATACACAAGGATCATTTACCAAGATAGACCATAATGCTGGGCCATAAAACATTTAAAAATATTGAAATTATACACAGCGAGTTCTCTAACCATAACAAAACTAGAAATCAATAACCAAAAGGTAACTGGAAAAGCTCCAAATGTTTGGAAATTCATACATTTCTAGAAAAGACATAGATCAAAATTAAATTACAAGGGAAATCTGAGAATATTTTGAATTAAATGTTAATAAAAATAATGCATCAAAATTTGTGAAATGTAGCTAAAACAGTGCTTAGAGAGAAGGTCTAAAATCAATAATTTAAACTTCTACCTTAAGAAGTAAAAAAAAAAAGCAAATTAAACCCACAGTAAGTAGGAGAGAAATAAAGATAACTCCAGAAATCAATGAAACAGAAAATGAACAAATAGAGAGAAACAGTGAAACCAAAAATTGTTCCTTTAAATAATCAATAAAAGTGACAACCCCCTGGCTAAGATGATGAACAAAAGAGAAGATGTACATTACCAATATTAAGAACAAAACACTACATATAACTATAGCTCTTACGGCCATTAAAAGGATATCAAGGGAATACTGCAAATAACTTTTATGGAAATAAATTCAACATTTAGACCAAATGGACAAATTCCTTGAAAGACACAAAATTACCGAAAGTGAAACACGAAACAGAAAATATGAATATTAAAGAAATAAAATTCATATCTCAAAATGTTCCCACAAAGAGAACTCCAGCCCAAGATGACTTCACTGATAAATTGTATCAAATATTTAAGGACAAGATGATACCAATCTCATACAGAAATGGGGCTAGTCAAAAATGGAATACTGTTATAGGAAGTAGCAAATTTACAGTATTGGAAATATACCACTGGGAGGGAAGCTAAACTTCACTTCCAAACCCAGGCTGTAGACTCTTTTCACCAGAAATACCACAAGTATAATGGCCTAAAGTCTCATCATCATCCTTCTCTTTCCAAGCTGGAGTTGGGAATGTATCCACTCTAAGTCAGATTAATATCATGTCTATCTTCCCAGACTTCCATTAGACCCACCCATCAGGGTCATCCCAGGAGCTAGAGGGCTTTTTTTGAATATTTGACACCTATGACTTGATTATATTCTGGGCATGCAATTCATTATTTATTCCTATTGTATAACTCAAGTGTCATAATTTTCTTTAATCATTTTATAGCCTGTAAGATTGGGGTTACTGCTATACCTGTCACCCTAGAAATGAGATTTCAAAAAAACAGCTAGTTGACTTAGGAAATGATCCCAAAGAGAGACTACTAAAAGTGCAAGTCTACCCATTAAATCTTCTTTGTAATGATTTTATAGGATATTTGTGTTATTTTTTTAAAATTGGGAGTTTTAGCAAAACCACTGTAAGAAATTGCTTCCCCAGTCTTAATGAAATAAAATAAAGGCGATTCTAACTGGTCTAGTGTGGTGATTCTCATTAGGCAACAAAACTGTTTTTGGAAACTGGAAAAGACACTGAAACTTTGAAACCAATAACTACCTTATATGATACTGTAATGGTGGATACATGTCATTATACATACACTTAAACCCACAGAATATGCAACACCAAGAGTGAACCCTAATGTAAACTATGGACTTTGGGTGATAATGATGTGTCAATGTAGGTTCACCAGCTGTAACAAAGTTACTACTCTGGCGGGAGATATTGATGATGGGGGAGTCTATGCATGAGTTGAAGCAGAGGGTATATGGGAAATCTCTGTACCTTCTGCTCAATTTTGCTGTGAATCTGAAACTGCTCTAAAAAATAAAGTCTATTTAAAACAAACAAACAAATAAAAACAACAACAAAAACATAACAGTAGAGTTACTCTGATTGAAGAATCTGGAGCCTAGTTTACTTACTGTCCACCCCCCCCAACATATTCACACATCTCCCCCTCCCCCCAAAGATATTTCCCTCAAAATCTCTAGGGTTCTCTGAAATACCATTTACAAACTATCTGTCTGGGTAATCAACAAAGACCCTCTGTGGAGTTCATTCCACAAAGTCATGTAAAATCAGCACCAGAGGAAAATTTAACCTACCAATCGAGCTATAGACACCCTGAATGTCGGACATGCCATATGGAATCGGGGAATGGCAACATTAAAGATCTTGTCTTTAAAGTAAAGGAAATGGAAGGTATAATATCCTTCCATATAGCCTGATGTTGTAGAGAATGTGGTACAACTTGTGTATTCATATACCCGGCCTGGGCTGATGATTGGAAATTCACCTGCAGAGAAAACAGTAACAATAAATTAAAGTATAATATTTAGTTCTTCATTATAGCAAACACGATATGTCCTCTTTAAACTATATTAAAGAAAATGCATAATTAGAAAAAATCTAAAAGGAACTATAAAAAAATGTTAATATTTTGGGATGGGATTATGAGTATTTTGACATTTTTTTGTACTCTCCTAATTCCCTATAGTGTGTTGGGGGTGGGGGGGTGATATCCAGTAGAATGAAAATTAAAAAAAGAGAGGGGGGCTTCCCTGGTGGCGCAGTGGTTAAGAATCCAACTGCCAATGCAGGGGACACGGGTTCAGGCCCTGGTCCGGGAAGATCCCACATGCTGCGGAGCAACTAAGCCCATGTGCCACAACTACTGAGCCTGCGCTCTAGAGCCCACAAGCCACAACTACGGAGCCAGCATGCTGTAACTACTGAAGCCCGTGTGCCTAGAGCCCGTGCTCTGCAACAAGAGAAGCCACTGCAATGAGAAGCCTGCGCACCGCAACGAAGAGTAGCCCCCGCTCACCGCAACTAGAGAAAGCCCGTGTGCAGCAAGGAAGACCCAACACAGCCAAAAATAAATAAAATAAAATTAATTTATAAAAAACTAATTTAAAAAAAAAGGAGCGGCATTGAGGACACAATCTTTAAGACACTGGTAATAAAAAGTGTCACATATTCTAGTTCAAACAGAGATAAGGATAATCTAAATGTTTAAATGTAGCAAGAGACTAAAACATAAAACTCTGAAGATGCATCTTAAGCATTTAGCCCAGACAAAATGGCAGTCACAAGGGAAAGGTTTTACACCAATAGACGAAATGACAGAAAAAGAATTACAGCTTTAATAAAATTCTTTAATATCCAGGAAAAATTCCTTAAAAAGACACATAGAATATGAATCTATTTGTGGCAATTAGTTAAAACAACTTCAATTTAAACTGAACTCTACATATGCTTAGGGCCAATAACAAAAGCACATAGCTTAAATAGTATTATTTTCCTGAAGGACACATATAAAACGTGAAGAATCTGAGGTCTCAGAAACTTATGATAATCATAATTTTTTAAAAAGCCAAATGTCAATGGTAATCAGAGGCTAGAGATGATTGAAATCAAAAAACAATAAAATCTGTGCTACTAAGTTTAACATTTCTCCTGAAATTTCAAAAAGATGACCAATATGAAATTTATTTTCTCTTTCTGCCATACACCTGTAACCCTACAGAATATGATAATGAATAATTATCCAGCTAAAAAAATAAAGCAGTTAAGAAGGAAAAGCAAGAAACCCGTGTGATCTACAGAAGGGAAATTCAATCCCTGAATAATTGAGTTTGCTATAATTTTAGAAAAGTTCATGTTTCAGGTACTAAACTGATAAAATAATGACCTTTACACATTATATTTATGAAGCAAAATATTGTAGTTAGGAGAAGAATTCAGAATCTATGATATCTTTCACACTGAAACACAGCTATTAAAAAGATGCAGTCTTATCCACTAACTACATCATGCATTTGCCAAGCTATGTATCACATATATACTCTCCAAAATGTTTTAGAAGCAACTGATGTATAAACCCAAATCTTGGGATACATACCAACTACTCCAGGTCCTTGAACTTCTTCCACGTCACCTTTAGCATTTGTTATTCTCCAGTAGCGACTGTCTAACTGACATGCCTTCTCAGGAAGTGCATCTTTTGACATTTCAATCCTGGAGAAGAGAATGGAGTGGTAGAGACACGTTGGTTTTTTCTGTTTAAGAGCTACAGTATTTTGAGCTAAGCCAGTGAAAGGGATTTCCAAAGGAAATTAAGAAACCCAACCCAAAGTCTGTGTAAATCATCTATTCCTGTAAGTTTGCAAAGATTCTGGCCTAATTAGCTGAACTCCCCCACAGAAATGGTTTCATTCAATTTACACACTTGACTTTCATTTAGGATTTAACGATAGAATGGGCAACATAAAAATTTACAAACATAGTGGTGACAACAATCTTTTGCTGTTCAAATAAAGACCAATGTGGGAAACACTTTCTAGAATATGGTGCCATGAAAAACTTCTGTTCTAAAAAATGGAGTCTTTTCTTTCACTACAAGGCTATACAGCCCTTTTCTCCATTAGCTTCTAGAAAGCTCAGAGCAAAATGTCACTATTTCGTGCATCTACTATTTAGTTACTGGGGTTATACCTTGACTCTGTTTTCCAATACTATTATTTCCCTCCTTTTTCTGAGACTCTGCTGACTCTTATTTTCATTTAGAATACCGTATAAGCACGTGTAGGTATTACTATTTTAAGCTTATCTCAATCCTAGGCAGGATTAAATTAAACAATTAAAACAACATTCATCTGAATATGTGTAACCAGACATATCAAAGTCTTTATACAATACCAAAATCCTAGAATGCCTTCTGGTTAAGTATACATTATTATTATTTCTAGTATGTATATATGCATGTATATGTATTTTTTGAAAATATATATCATAAAGTATTTAAAAATACATCTAAAAACAAAGCATTCTTAATCCCTTAGGGCAATGAGTTATCTTTACCTCACAGTACAGAGTACTTCTAATTAAAGTGTATTTAATATTTGTTTTTTATTTAACCAAATCCAGGGCTTACTCAGCACTATGTCTAATATACAGGCTGTACTCAATAAATATTTATTACACTTTTAATTAAATATAGACAGGCAAGATAAAACTGAAATGCATCGTTTTATCGTGGGCAATTTCATAGCTTTCAGAACGCATTATAACTCTAATACTGACCTTTCATGATGATTACAACTTAGTGGTCCACCTCTCAAAGTACCTGGCACAAAAGTTGATACAAACTCAAGGTGCTTTACAAACACTATATTGTAGAAAATTTGTTTGTTATCCACCTACCTCCACACTTTAGCAAGAAGCTGCCTTTCAGAATGTGTTTTTATATCATGTCAAATGGGGTGATAACAACACATCCATAAGGTATATCCCCAAAGGCAACCCCATTTAAAATTCTCACCTGATTCGGTATGTGAAGAAATAGTGGGGTGGATGTACAGAGCTAAGTTCTGGCAGAAACGATGTGGAAACTGAAACTGTAATATCCCCAGTCGTTGCTACACACTCTGCATCATGAACATATCTAGGTAATTTTAAAAAATTAAACATTTTTTAATCAACAAACGTCAATTCTGTAAGATAAAAGATTTAAAGATACAATGCAAAATAGTTTATATTTTACTTTACGATAAAAACAAATTTAAATCATATTTGGCACCTTAAAGGTATAGTTATTAAGCTTAAAAGAACAAACAAACTAGAAAACCTTGAAGACTCTGAATCAATAATGATAGCAGTCAAGGTTCAACCAGTGGTTGACCAGTGGTTCAAATAATGGATCAGTAACTAACTTGGAAACTAAAAAGAGCTTATTTCAGTCTTTAGAGCTAAGGAAACTTTTGGAACATCTGAAAACCCAGCTATGCCCTATACACAGTGACTCTGACAATAAAAATGTGTTAGTATTGTTATTCTAGAGGCCTCTAATGTATAATTAACGTATCATTTCTGCCAACTGAGCTACTGTGAACCAACCTCTAGTTCCATCTATAATACCTGAGTGTTCCATTTAGAGATAATGACTAATATTTCCAGGAGCTAACAGTTACTGACTTGCTATTCACAGTAAATCTGTTATTGGCAACAGCCTCCCACTCCACCGCCAAAAAACCCCACAACTATGTAACTACTATAAAGCCACAGCTTCTAAATCAAAATCAGTTTTTTCTCTTGATTCTTCAAGATGAAAAAAATACTGGCTGTTCAACTGTTTGGATGTGTTGGCTTTAAAGTGAGAATAAAATAGTGAGACTTAAGATGAGAGGTTCTGTTATTAACCTTCATGGGAAACTTCATCTCCTGATCTGTAACTGATGTTTTTTCCTGATTTATAATCATTCCAATCCATAAAGCCCCAAGTGAAATACCTGAAAATTTGGTCTCTGATGATAGGGAAGCCACCTGATACAACATTGTTGACATAAGAAGTAAACCAGTCAGTAAAAGTAGCACCTGTAAAAAAGGAAGGGAAAAAAAAAGAGAAAAGGACAAATAGTTTTTTTTTAATTTATACAGGAAACAAGGGGAAAAACGACAATTTCTCTATGCTTAATAGTGATATCTAGTGATGCCAAAACTAGAAATATTTATATATACCATTCTACTAATCCTTTATTAGGTAAATTTCTATCCTCAGTTCTATCAATCTTATTCCAAACTACCTTGCTAGGGAATCCTCCGACTACCTTCAAACTACTTTTTACACTTAAAACTAAATAGTTGACTTTTAAACTTTAATTTGTTCTGGTACAAGAATGAAAAGCCTTCTGTCTATAATTTCTGGAACATATAGAACAAAGGAGATATAGCTATGTCTATGAAGAAACTACAGAAAAAGTATCAGCACCTATCCTCATATGATCAGGGTACATCCCTGGTCCAGGCACATCCTGACTCATGCACAAAATTCTGGCAGAAGCCAGGCTCAGTCTGGACATCTAATAGGGGTATAGCACTGTGGAGTTCTGGGCATCAGGCCAATCCCAAAGTAGCCCAGTTGCATTACTACAGATTCAAATGTACAGCGGTCCTCCATATTCTCAGTGACCAGCTCAACGCAGAGAAGAATGACTGGGATAGTCCAGTCCAGACCATATATCCGTGACCTAGTGATTGGATCAATAACAAGTATTTACATGAATTATGTTGCCTCTTGTGGGTAATACAACATAACTTTCTCAGACCCCCATCACTGACTGTTAATACAGCTCAGTGCCTAACACATACTAGTCCCTTAATCAATGTTGTTTAATGAATTTCTTCATAATCTTGTTTCTATTAACCCAGTTCCTGTACTCTGCCACACTGAAAGTCAGATGCTAAATTTATAGTATGTATTTACTTATAATTCTAGTTAGGGAATGACTGAAGATACAATTTAAGCTTGAGTCTGAGAGTATACAGCTTTAAAATTTTAAAGGTATCAACTGACAGAAGGTAAACTACAATAGTTTACTCTTTTTTCAATGCCTATTAATGGCCCACTCTGACCCTTTATTTATTAACTGCTACTTTATTCAAATGATCACTGATCATCTTCTATCCACTTTGAGCTAGATATTAAGGGGCCACATGAATGTTTTTAAATTCATAGAAGGTACAATTTTCTGTTTTGAGAACTAGCAGTTTCCCTGCAGAGTTTAAAAAATCATTTTATAAATTTCATGAACTAAAATATTATATAAGAAAAAAGAAATTTCTTATGATTTACATTAAAAAAGAAATTGGCATGGTGTATTTTAATGTGCCTTAATTTATTATAACACATACCGAAGTGCGTTCTTTAAAATAAGGATAAAATTTTCCATGCAGCCTTCACCACTAAACTTATCTGCACATAGATTCCAGTTTTCTTAAATATGTATTAATAATGCACTGAATATCAGGAGATTCCGTCTTATGTTTTACCAAAAATTCCAAGAAAGTCAAATTTAGTTGAATTAAGATGTAATTTATATGTTCTACAGTAGTTTACCTTTTAAAGTAAGCCCATATCTTGCAGTTCCTTTGAGAGTATTGGGGTTTTATCAAGGTAGTGTAAAGGCAGATCAGATGCTTTCTCATCTTTCCTCCCAGACTAACTTCCCACCTCATTTCTTCCAGTGCACCTCAAATCTTTTGCTTTACTCGCTCATTCTAGGAGAAACCCCAACTCCCAGAAGAGTATTCTCAGACCTTAGTACTCTGCTGTAGTGGTGGGGTCTTCCACACCATGTCAGACCAGCACCAAACTAAGACTAAGAAACTCACAGAGCCTAGCCGGCAGCTTACCTTAGAGCTCAGGCAGCCTTTAGTTTATAGACTGAGCAGCACCACTGGACTAGAGCCAGGACGATCATGTTCTCAGAGTATGTGCCACCCAGAGAAGCCAAAGACGGCAACGAGCAAGGGCGTAACCCCCAGAGGGTGCTTAACTTAGATACCATAGACCACAGGAATCAGGGTTAGCTGAAGGCTAGGAACCAAGCTTAAAAGTGTTTTATAACTGACTGCGTAGGGGTGAGAACTTCTTGATATTGTGAAGTATGCCACAAACCTAGAATATGCTGTAGTTTGAACACACAGAGACTTATACTCTGTTCAAGGTTCCAATTAGGAGATACAATTAAATACAGATGCCTTGGCCTGCAAGATCCTTTTACTATTAATATATAAAGATGTTTAATATGTTCCAGAAATGCCTTTAAAAAGCAGCATGGATAGTCAGGAAGCTTCTCTTTTTCCTCTACGTGAGCAAAATCTAAGCAAAACAAGAATGGATGAACAGCACAGGGGTGAGCTGCTCTTGAATACAAATTGAATTGTTCTCAAAATCCTATGAGAAATATGCTTTTAAGGCCAAGAAAAACCAGGTGTGCCAAGCAGTTTATAAGGCCCAGTTTATTCTGGTCTCTGAAGACTGCTGGTCTGAAGTCTCTGGTGTGACATCAGTATTTTACTATAGCACTGGCACCAGAAGAGAAAAAGTATAGTTATTTTATGTATCTATATCTCTAATTATGTATTAATATGATCAATGGAAAATGCATGTGTGTGTAAGGGAACTATATACACATTCTTAGCAATTCTATACATTTCACTGTTCTATAGCAGAATCCTAAGAGCACAAGGTTGTATATGGCATAGCTTTTTCCAAATGGAAACCCAAGTCAAATAAAGTACAAGGGCTATTCTAATGAGAACCTAGTTATAGTACTTTATGAACCAGCAAGCTTTAAGAAATACAAATATAAAATTGCCAGTTGATCAAGTAACAGAAAAGTTTTTACCAACTTAATTTTTTTGACCAGAAAGAAGAGACTTTTCTCTTACCTATGATAAACATGTCAATAGCAGCTGGATTCCGAGCCATTTGGTCCTAGGTGAGAAAAAGAATATTGTAATCAAGGAAAATACATTTTACTTAATTCCCCATTGTTCACTACCTGTATCCTTCCCTGGGGACAAGACAAAACAGATAAAAATAACTTAAGTGCTCTAACCAATACTCAGACATTCCTCACACTTTTCAGTTTCTGCTCTTATGATTTCTATATTTAGGCTCTTCCTGTTAGTTACAATGAACTAATAAATGATCCTTCAAGAAAACAATTAGGACATTAAAACCGTGAGAAGACACATGGCCTATGAACCCAGAAGACAGGGCTTTGAATTCAGTCAAGGGACCTGAACAGTTCTAGATTAGTCTCTTCTCTCAGTAAATGGAGAGACCAAGTCATCATCCTACAACCTTACAGAGCTATCAAGTCAAAAATGAGATAAAAGATGTGAAAATGCTTAGAAAAAAAATTAAAAGCTATGCAAGCTCTTTACATAACTTAAATGTTATATGGAGTCACATGTCTCAGATAACTATGAATTTTTTTTTTTTGAATTTTTTTAAAAAATAAATTTATTTATTTATTTTTGGCTGCATTGGGTCATAGTTGCTGCACGCGAGCTTTCTCTAGTTGTGGCGAGCAGGGGCTACTCTTCGTTGCGGTGCACAGGCTTCTCATTGCGTTGGCTTCTCTTGTTGCGGAGCACAGGCTCTAGGCGCGCAGGCTTCAATAGTTGTGGCACGCAGGCTCAGTAGTTGTGGCTCACGGGCTCTAGAGCGCAGGCTCAGTAGTTGTGGCGCATGGGCTTAGCTGCTCCACGGCATGTGGGATCTTCCCGGACCAGGGCTCGAACCCGTGTCTCCTGCATTGGCAGGCGGATTCTTAACCACTGTGCCACCAGGGAAGCCCCTGAAAAATATTTTCTATTTAAGTTCACATCTAGGCAAAAATGAAAGCAGAAGGTCTGCAACTGAGGAATGACTGAGAACTGAAGAAATAAGAATGAAACCAAATGCCATATTTTCTGTGCTTACATTAAAATCATAACAAAATCCTCTTTAAAAAGATCTACATTTTTCAACAACTCAAATACCTACTGAAGAAAGAGTTTAGAAAGTTTCTATTGCACTCAGAACTTGAATCCAAAGCGAATGATGATGGATGATGTCCAAAAGCTAAAGTTAGAAATTTATATTACAATTAATCACTTCAACGAAAAGCTCATTCATTTTTCTTTTATAACAGCTTTATTGGACTATAATTGCTTTACAATGGTGTGTTTCTGCTGTATAACAAAGGGAATCAGCTATACATATACATATATCCCCATATCCCCTCCCTCTTGCGTGTCTCATTAGTTTTTCTTAAACTTAAAATGTCCTAATACAAATCACAGCTTCCCTCTGTACGCATGCTAATTTTAAAAGAAAATGCTAATTTTCTTTTAGCATTCCATGCCATTATATCAGAATATTAGCCCTCTAGTTAGATCCGTCTATAATCAAATTGCATAATGCTCTATACCCATTCTACAACCCTGAAAATTCCTAATGCACATCTTATACATCCATCAGAACACATCTTAAAGGCACATTTAAACATGCTTCCTACTTACTGGACATTGGTAGAAGACTTCATTTTTGTTTCGGCCCTCCGCAGCTTCCACTGCTATGTACTGACTCAAACCAGTATGTATGCAAAAAGTTAAAGGTAGACAGTATTTCAGTCCCTGTCTCTGCTGGAAGCCTCCAGCAGCCGTGTCGACGTCTAGCAAATCCTCAGAACGATAGTGATTAGACAGTGCCATGCTTCCCAACAACCTGAGAATATAGACTCAAAAATTTAGTCAACTGCAATCTTTTTGATGAATAATAATTTCACATTGACAACTTTATAAGAACGATTAACATGTCAATTCTAAACCAGGAATACCCCAAACACTACAATTTCTGCATATATTAAATTCAAACTCTTGAGTGGAAAGATTCTGATTTAAATTAAAAGCCTAAATGTCTAAACTGTCTAAATGCCAACCTTTTAAAAAGAAAAATAGTTTTATTGCTTTCAAAAATCTATCTTGCCATAATTTGCCAGTGTTTTGCTATATATATATGTATGACTAATTTAATGTTTAATGTTCTCTCTGATACCTTCATCTTGATACAACCTTTAGCTTACACTATCCTACCAGGCAGTATAAATGGAAATCAGCTTAATCCTTGTCCAAATTTTCATAAACTTGGGATGTATGGGGTCTAAACTCATACGTATGAGAACAACACAGGTGTCGGTCCTTGATGAGAGTCTCATCCTAAGTCTCACTGTTGGGGCTGTGGGTAGATAAAAATCCCTGTGTTGCATGATCTGTTTGTCATGTCAATTCTGAGCAACGCTTAGTATAGTTCTCTCCTGTTGGTTCTTGAAATATGACAATTTTTCCATTTTGTCAAGCTTCAGCTTGACAGGAAAACAGAATAGGAAAAAACCCAGTGATTTAGGCTTATCTAGTCCCAACTGCCCAATATTTGACTTCTGAATACTACCTTGTAACCTCAGTATGATCACCTCCTAGATTCCCTGTACTCACTCAACTCTGATCTGAAATGGTAACAGAGCCTCATATGGTTCTTCACACACAAAGAGATACCAAGTTCTAATAAGAACAATGCAAAGTTCTCCCTAAATTCCTATCAGTATGTCACAAGTGCAATGTCTCTGAAATACCTTAATTTCATGAGGGAACAAAGGGAGTAGAACCATTAGAAGCATGTAGCTTTAAAAACTGTGAGTAAATTTGAGAGCTACTGCATGGTCTGCTTTTACAAAAGGTTCCACAGTGAATACTTCATATCGTTTAGAAGTAAGTTTAAAATAGGCCATTCAATTATAGACTATGCTTGAATAGGACAAAACTAATATTTTCTTTAGTTAAGTGTATGTAGCTCTGAACAAATTACTTTTAACATGTATGATTCATAGAACTTATATCAAGCTTTCTAAAATACTTTACTTGGCCTGTAACAGGATAAACACTTCAAGGATTTGAAACAGGTTTAGTTAAATTATACTCACACACACATCTCCTCTCCTGTCCTGTAGGCCCACCCCAACCATTTAACTGTAAAGATGTGTTGATAGAAACCATGTTTTTGAGACATTATCTATTTTGGTAAAATCAAATTCAAGCTATAGATTTTGTCTTATGGATTGTTATAAGGAACAGGAGGAAGTTCTTATACTTTTTAATCTGTTAAGAGTAACTACAAATACAATTTGTTTACATTCTAGAAAATAACTTGTATCATTAAAAATAACTCAAACAGTGAACATCTCACCCAGGAACCACTAACTTCTGCCCATTGTGGATACGATATGAACATCGATAATCATCAGGAAGCTTGCAGCCAATCTGAGCTTCCACAGCATCTAGGTCTTCCTCTCGAGCCCCCTCTGCAGATGCACAAAAGAGCAAATTATCAAGAAACCATAAGCCTTAAATCTAAGAAGAAATGCAATCTATCTGCTAGCCAATGATACAATCTTAGAGCAAGTGAATTCTGTCCAAAATGTACTTGCTGAAATATAGGGAAATGAATTGAAAATTCACAGAAATATTATATCACTTTAGATTAGCTCTGACGTTTGAAGCACTGAGGAAGCAAATTTCTCAGTTTTCTCTCCATGGGGAAAACACTGGCACTAAGCAAAATATGGAATGGCAGGCACCAGTGAAATCCACAATAGTTTCTTCGCAGTACAATACAAACTTTAGAGCATATCTCATTTTTCTTAATCTAATATACTCAAATTTCTCTATTTAAAAAACTCTCCAGAAGTTCTCTAAATGGATGTTGTTCAAGAGTGTTAACCTAGTCTCTTAATGGGAAATATAGGACATAGGTGTAGGTTCATGCTGTGAGGAGGCCATTACCTTGAATTTGATTTTCACGTTTATAAGCTTGCCATATATTCTAGCTTTAAAAAGCAGTAATTACAAATACTAAGAGAAGAGATTCACTCCCAGCAATGGCCCACCAGGTTGTTGGACCAAACGTTTTGCTGAGAACTAGAAAAACTGAACAACAGAAAATTGGTTTCAAGGCTTTTGGAGAACCTCAAAGACAGTGAGAACTGGCAGGGGTGGGGTGGGGGAAGGTTGGTCCAGAAGAACAGGGAAACTGAGAGTTTAGCCAGGGCTTTGGAGCCACCTTGTCTCTGAGGCAACTGCCACTTCTGAAAGCAAACACGAGGCTGAGAGGCCGAGAAGCTGAGCAAAGCTTTCAGCAGTACCACAGGGTTGAGAGAATTTTCCAAAACTGATGAAAACATCAAACCATAGATTTAAGAAGCACTATAAACCCCATGGAGAATCATTGCAAAGAAAATCATTATCTAGACACATTGCTGGAAAATTGCTGAAAATCAAAGACAAAGAGAAATCTTAAAAGCAGCCAGAGAAGGGGAAAAGCCACAGTCATCTTCAGAAGAGCAACAATAAGACAGCTTCTTAACAGAACAATAGAAGCTGGAAGAATGGTATCTTCAAGTGCTGACTAGAATTCTATATCCAGTGAATACATACTTCCAAAGTGAAGATGAAATAAATATATTTTTCGACAAAAAAAAAAAAATCTGAAAATATTCAGCAATAGCATTCCCTCGTTAAAAACAAAACAAAACAAAACAAAAAGGAATTCTCCAGGCAGAAGAAAAATTATCCCAGATGGAAGCATGAAGATTCAGGAAGAAATAAAGTGCAACCAGAAAAGGTAAATATTCAGGTAAATCTAAAATAATATTGAACATGTAAAATAATAATAATGTTTTCAAGGATATAAAATATGTTGAAAACTAAAATCACAAAACTATAATACAAAAGACAGGAGGGAGGTAATTGAAATTAAAGTATTCTAAGGTTCTTTCATTGTTCAGGAAGTGGTAAAAATACTAATTTACAATAGACTTTAAGTCAGAGATACATGTTTTAATCTCTAGGCTAATCACTAAAAAAAAGTTAGATAAATAAGAAAGGAAAGGAAGTATGGAATAAAAGATAATTAAGAAGAATGCAAAAAAGGAATAACTGCTCAGGTGCCACCAATATAAAACAGAAACATGGTATATTTACACTCAAATGTATTAGTAATTACATTAAATATAAACAGACTAAATAATCTAATTAAAAGACAAACAGACCAGATGAAAAACAAAACACAATCATATACAAGAGGCACATCTTAAAGATGTAGATACAGAAAAGAAAGCTAAAATAGCTACTAAAATCATACAAAGTAGACTTTAAGGCAAATAGCATTATTCGAGGTAATGGAGGACTTTTTGTAATGGCAAAAAGGTTAAATTCACTACACAGGTATTATAAGTTTAATTTTGTGCATCTAATAACACAGCTTCAAAATACTTTTTTTTTTTTTTTTGCGGTACGCGGGCCTCTCACCGCCGTGGCCTCTCCCGTTGCAGAGCACAGGCTCCGGACGCTCAGGCCCAGCGGCCATGGCTCACAGGCCCAGCCGCTCCGCGGCATGTGGGATCCTCCCGGACCAGGGCACGAACCTGCGTCCCCTGCATCGGCAGGTGGACTCTCAACCACTGCGCCACCAGGGAAGCCCCCAAATACATTTTTTAAATGACAGAATTAAAATGGAAAAAATATATATCTGTAATCATAATGGGTGTATTAGTTTTCTACTGCCACAATATTAGCTGCTTAAAATAACACTCATTTATTATTTCACATTGTCTGTAGGTCAGAATTCTGGACATGACTGAATTGGATCTTCTGCTCAGGTCCCACAAGGCTGAAATCATGGTGTTAACTGGGGCTGCTAGTGCACCTTATGCATCTTTTGCTTGGGGTTCTCTTCCAAACTCACTGGTTGTTGGAAGAACTCAGTTCTTTGTAGTTGCAGGATTGAGGCTCTCTACTCTTAGAAGCCACCTGCCATTCCTTATCACCTGGCCCTCTCCACAACTTGCCAGTTTGCTTATTCATGACCTGTAGGAGACACACCCAGGCTCTGAATCTCTCTGACTTCTGGAAGGGCCCAGTTCCTGTTAAGGGCTCACCTGATTGGGTCAGGCCTGCTCAGGATAATTTCCTTTTTGATTAATGATTAATTCAAATGCAACTAATTTGGGACCTTCATTACATCTGTAAAACCCTTTTGTCATCTAATATGACCTAATCACAAGACAGAAATCAATTATATCCATTGTACAACTCACACTCAAGGGGAAGCTATCATTATACCAGGCATGTACCACAGTGGGTGAGAATCTTGGGACCTATCTCAGAACTCTGCCTACCACAGTGAGAAATTTTAACATACCTCTCTCAGTAACTAACAGAACAAGGAGACCAAAAACCTCATTAAGAGTACAGAAGAGTTGAACAAGATCAACAGTTTTTGCCTAATCATATATATAGTACTAAATGGCAAGAATGGCAGAATATACATTCTTTTCAAGTATACATGGAACATTTGCCAAGATAAATTATATGCCGGACCACATAACAAATCACAATAAATTTCAAATGACTGAACTCATATAGAGTATATCCTCTGATCATAGTGGAATTAAAATATAAATTACATTAAAAAGATTACTAAAAAAGCCCCCAATGTTTAGAAATCAAGCAATACATTTCTATATAATCCATGGGTCAAAGAAGAAATCACAAAATATTCTGAACTGCATGTTAATGAAAATACAGCATATTAAAACTTGTGGGATGAAGTTAAAGCTATGTTTAAAGGGAAATTTATACCCCTAAATGCATTTGAAGAAAACAAGGAAGGCTGAAAAATCTATGATCTAAGTAATCATCTCAAGTCAGGAGAAAAGTGACAGTAAACTTAAAGAGAAGTAATCAGAGAAATTAATGAAATAAGAAATAAGATATTAACATAGAGAGGATTGACAAAGGCAAAAGTCAGTTCTCTGAAAAGACTAATAAAACTGATTAGCCCTTACCTAGCAAAACTGATCCAGAACAACAGAGAGAAAGCACAAATAATATAAGAAATGGAAAGGTGAAATCACTAGAGATCTAACAAGCATTACGAAGAGGATAATTATGAAAAATTTTATGGCAATAAATTAGAAAATGTAGATGAAGTAGACAATTTCCTAGAAAAACACAACTTATCAAAACTGACATAAGACTAAGTAGAAAATTTGAGTAGTCCTAAATCTGATAAAGAAATTGAATCCTTAATTTAAAACCTTCCCACAATGAAAACTCCAGGACTGAATGCCTTCACTGGTATATTCTACTAATCATTTAAACAAGAAATAAGACCAAGCTTACATAAACTCTTCCAGGGAACAGAAAAAGAGGCAACACTTCCCGACTTGTTTACAAGGCCAGCATCATCTTGATACCAAAACCTGACAAGAACATTGCAAGAAAGGAAAATTACAGGCCAAACTCTCTCATGAGCATAGATGTAAAAACCCCAAATACTAGCAAATCAAATCCAACAATACATAAAAAAGATAATACATTCCAAGCAAAGTAGGTTTATTCCAAGAATGCAAAATTGGTTTAACATTCAGAAAAATCAATCAATGTAATTCAGAGCATTAACAAAATGAAGTAGAAAAATCATATGATAATGACAAGGCTGGAAAGGCATTTGATAAAACTCAATTATCTGTTTAAAGCACAAAAACAAAAAACCCTTTTCCCAAACTAGGATCAGAAGGGACTTTCTTCAACATGCTAAAGAGTGTCTACTAAAAATCTACAGCAAACATCAGCTTTAAAGGAGAAATGTTGAAAGCTTTCCCTCTGCAGTCAGAAAGATAAGGATACTCACTATTATCATTTCTATCCAACACTGCACTGAAGGCTCTAGCCAGTTCAATAAAGCAAGAAAAATAAAGCAATGACATATAGGGATTGGAAAGCTAGAAATAAAACTATCATTCTACATCTTTAAAGAAATGCAAATTAAAATCACCACTACACACCCACTAGAAGGGCTAAAATAAAAAGAATGACAACATTATTAAAGTGCTAGTAGGAATGTTAAGTGGTAAAACCACTTTGGAAAATTAACAGTATCTTCTGAAGTTTAATACAAGCACACTATACAACCCAGAAAACGCAACCCTAGATATTTACCTGATAGAAATATGCTCATATGTACATCAAAAATGATTTACAGCATTATTTGTAATAGTCAAAGACTAGAAACAACCCAAATATCCAACAACAGTAGAATGAATGTATAAATTGTGGTCTAATCATATAACGGAGTATTTATACTGTAACAAAAATGAACAAAATACTGTTACACACAACACTGCTGAATCTCACAAATGAAACAGAAATAATTCACACAAAAAACATACTTAATCATGCCAATTATATAAAGTTCAAAAAGAGAGAAAACTACTCAGTGGCATTAGCAATCAGGATAGTGGTTACCCCTGAGAAAGACAGAGGGTTCTAGGTACACATAATTATTCTACTTCTTGACCTGACGGGTGTTACAATGGGCATGTTCACCTTGTGACAATTCACTGAGTTGTACACTTATGATCTGTGCACATTTCTATAGGTTGGTTAACATCACTAATGATAGGCTGTGGATATTACATACCCCCAGCTATGTGATGACACACCTCACCTCGCTGGTAACCTGAAAACACATTACTCCAGTCTAATCGTGAGTAATACTTTAGACAAAGTCAGTTTGAGGGACATTCTGCAAAATACCTGACCAGTACTCCTTCAAACTGTCAACGGTGTGAAAGACAAAGAAAGACTGGGAAGTGTCCACAGACCAGAGGACACTAAGGAGACATGACAACTAAATGCAATGTAGTATTCTGGATTGGATGCAGGAATTGAAAAAGGATTCCACTGATAGAAAATCTGGTGAATTCTGAATAAAGTCTAGAATTTAGTTAGTAGTAAGGTGCCAGTGAAGACTTTAGTTTGACAAATGTCCCATGGGTTGGTATGTTAGGGGAAACTGAAACTGTGTGAGGGGTGTACAGAAATTCTCTGTACTATCTTTGCAACTGTCTTGTAATCTAAAATTAGTACAAAATGAAAAGTTTATTTTTTAAAAAGTTCAATACAAAAGAAAACAAGCTGAATAGCTGCCTGAACCAGAAGGTGAATGAGAAAAAAAACACTAATATTTATACAGTTAGTGCTACACGTTGGACATCTAACATGTAACATTAAGAAACCAAGAATTTCTTGAAAAGAGAGAGCAAGGCAGAAAAAAAGTAAAATAACAACAAGCAAACATGGCAAAAGACAAATATAAGGAAATACATTTAGAGGGGCATCCTACTATAATAGAGTTTGGGAGCCAGGCAGACCAGGGTCAAATCTCAGCTCTACCAATTACAGCTGGCTTTCTGTATCCAGATGTGGAACTCAAGGATACAAAGGGTCAACTATGGGACTTGAGCATCTGCATATTTCAATATCCTCAGCAGGTCCTGAAACCAATGCCCGGTGGATACCAAGGGATGACTAGACTGACTGTGATCTCTGGCAAATTATTTCATCTCTTTAATCCAGTTTCCTCATCTGCAAGACAGAAGATAATACCGCCTACCCAGGAGAATTACAGTGAGGATTAAATAAGCTTCATGTGCTTAATAAAGTGCTTTCCTGGCATACAATAAGTGTTTATGTACTTCCCTTGCCCCCAGACTATTTGTATGAGGAAGCAGTGAAAAGATTACTAGGAGCCAAGAAACCTAGATTAGAGTTCTATCTCTGTTACTCACTAGCTACAGGACCCTGAATAAGTCACCTAAACTCTCTGAGCCTGTTCCTTCACCTGTAAAATGAAAGGGCTGGTATAAATCAGGGATCCACAAACTACAGCCTGCAGGCCAAATCCTGGCCTGCGGCCTATTTCCATAAATAAAGTTTTCTTGGAACACTGCCACACCCATTTGTTGTTATATTGTCTATGGCTGCTTTCCCACAATAGCAGAGTTAAATAGTTGTGACAGAGGCCATCTGTCCCTCAAAGCCTAAAATATTTACTATCTGGTCATTTAAAGAAAAAGTTTGCTAATCCCTGGTCTAAATGATCTCTAAAAGTCCCTTCTGACTTTAAAATTTTAAGCCAATACTTAAGGTTAATATGAAATTTAAAGATATGAGATATATACCATGAGATAGATTGGTAGAATGTACATCAATATACTATAATTTCAAGATACTTAATAAAAATTTTCCCAAACCCAGTGCCTATTTGCTTTCCAAGTTTCCTTCCTATCTGTGATCTCTACACCCTTGAAACTGAGTCAGGGACTATGGCCCCTGAGATGAGCAGCTAGTTTCCTGATTCAGCCCTAAAACTCATAGGTCTACATTAATAGAATCCCCAGCTTTCTAGATATCAGAGCCTTTGTTCTATTCCAATTTATGGCAAAGACCCCAGAGAACTGGCACCTGGGAGTAAAACAGGGGCTGACAAGGAATTCTCTGACAACCTCACCTTCAACCATTAAGTACAAAACAGTGAGCAGGGAGCCTGGGAATACCAATTGAGTGTCCCCTCAAAAAATTAAAAAATAAAAAATATAAAGAAAAAGGAAAAAGGAAGAAGCTGCTATGTATCCTTAGTTTCTTCCTTTCCTGGTAGCTCTGTGTCTCAAAGGAGAACCATGTCTATATTCCCATATTCCAAATATTCTAATATTAGACTAGCTCTCTAAGACTCATAATACATTCTAAACAAAATAGGATAGGTCTTCTCTCCCTTCAACAGCTGGTAAGACCACATCTCTGGAGTCAGCCCTATATTCAAATCCTGGCTCTGCTCTCCTTTGTGATAGCAAACAACTTACTTAGCCTTTTATGCCTCAGGTAGCTCACCTATAAAATAAGACTAGTAATGACCTACCTCATAGGATTTTGGCAACTTAAACGGAATAATATACAGTACTTGGCTTAGTACCTAGCTTTGTGTTTAATAAATAACAGCTATTGCAAACCCTTACATATTTTACTTATCATTACCAAATACCTATTTTCTGAATTATTTTCCTCTTGAAATTATTTACCCCATACACCAAGTGGATAATATTTTTCTTTTCTTCCAAGGAAAAAACCTATTAAAAATATTAATCAGGGGTACTTTCTTTCAAAGCTGTACTCTCTCTGCCAAATCATTCTTTCTTCTACCTCCTAGCAATTCAGTTTTAAGTACCTGGTCATTCAATCATGATTTGTATGAAATTCATATTTGCATGGAAACGTACAGCAGAAATATGAAATGTAAAAGGAATGCCATGTCAAAAGAGTCCTTAGTTCAAAAGGTACACATTTGAGAAGAACTGATCCCAATTTCAGCTTAGCAAAACCAAAACACATATAAAATTCCTTTTAGTGGAGAAACTTGAAAAAAACTTGGAGGCTAAAGCAGGTAAGTAGCAATATATCTGCAATCCATTTATGTATTTCTTGGGCATAAATTTAAAAATCAAAGTAATGAGAAATAGCTTGTTAATAATTTCTTGCCAAAATTGGACAATAATAGTATAGTAGAGACAGCATAGATTCTGGGGTCAAATAGACTTCAGTTCAAATCTTAGTTTTCATTATTCTGTAAATGTCAAAATAGGGATGAAAGTTTTCCCTACTCTATTAGGCTGCTCCTACATGCTTAAAGACCCAGTCTGTAATATTTGGTCTTTCAAATATTAGATTGTCAAATAAACATTTACTTGTACTAAAAAGAGGGAAGAGGGTTGATACAGCAGGCAATTTTTCAAATAAAAAAAGAAGTCTTTTAAAAGAAATTACAAGTTATCCTCAAGCAACAATAACATTACTAGTTTCTTTATGTAAAACAAATGTAAGGATAAAAAGAAGCTTTCACTGCTAATAATCATGTGGATGCTGAGGTAGGCAAAAATAGGGCAAGCACTAGAACCAGGGTCCTTTTAGCAAATTAGGCTTTCTATGTGCTTGACCAAATGCGAATGGTGAATTACAGATAATGTTGGATTAGCACAGATGATAGAAACCCAAAGTTATTTAACCTGTTTATACTATGAAACTAAAATGGGGAAGGGAGACCCTGCATTCCCAATACCTTTCAGAGATAAAACCATACGAGGACATCTGGGTTCCAAATATTTCTTGAGATCATCCCAGGCCTTTTTAATAGCAGCATAATGGTCAATATATCTTCCTACATCAGAGTAAGTATCAATGAAGAGGGATTTCCAACACTGGTTCTTCTGTGTTTTCTCTTCCCTAAATAGATTTAAAAAATAAAATTAAAAATCTTTTGAAATGAAATTAGCATATATTTTAGACACTTATACCAATATACTTTATTGGGAATTTGTGGTTATTTTTGTCTTCATTTTCATTTATTGTAGCTACAAGTGAAGACTAGATAACAAAAAGTGACACATACATCAAAAAATTTAACAAGTTACTGCTGGCATGGTGGGATTATGAGTCACTTATTTTCTTACTTTCTACTTATTTTTTTTCTAAATTTCTAATCCTTGATAAGATATAATGTGAATAGTATATGGGATATGAATTTCAACTTACTCCTAAAAACATGCCAGTTACACAATTTTTAAACATATATTTAATTTTTCTATTTTAGAGAATATTTAGAATCTAATGATACAATAATATTAATCTAACTTATCTACATTGGATTAGCTAGAGAATCATATAGCATATCAAAGGAATCACACGATTCAACATTCCTATTTGGTACAATTCCACAAACATTTACTGTCTACTTAGCTACTGAGGATATTAAAAGTAAGGCACATTTTTTGCCTTCAAAAATGTATAATCTAATCAGGGAGAAAGAAGGAAGTATAAATTTAAGAGTCAGAAGTGGTACAAGATAAGGCAGCCAGAAAGGGCCTTAAGGTAACATACTAATGAGGTTGACCTTATCCTGTAGGGAATGGAGAGCCACTGAAGAGTTTTAACAGGAGAGTTAAAAGAGCAGAATTGTGGTTGTGGTTTGGGAAGGGTGTACACTAGAGCCACAGAGATGGACTGGAAGGGTTTTGCAGCAGTCTTGGTAAGAGATGATGAACTGAGCTAAAACTGTGGTGGCTAGATGAAATGAGAAGAAAGATTCAAGAAATATACAGGGGCTAAAATCAGAAAAGCTTGGTAATTGAATGAATGTAGAGACAGAAGGAGAAAAGAGATCTAGAATGATTCCTGTTTCTGGCTTGGAGGGCGGGATGGATGGTACTGCTATGAAGATATGAATGCAGGAGGATCAGGTTTAGGGATGGGGAAAAGAACAATTCAGGGTGTTGTATACATGTGCCTGCGTTTTTCGGGGTGGGGGCAGTGGTGGAAGGGAAGTGTCTTTTTATTAATCTAAGTAATATACATATATATTATTAAAACCAAAAAGTACTGAAGAACTTAAGATGAAAAACTAGGCAGTCTCCTGTTCTAAGTCCAACCTCTCAAAGAAATCTTTAGTTATTTCTGGAAGTTATCTCTATAATTCTAAATGTTTATGCCTCTAGTTCTTGGTTTACCAATTTATATCTATCTACTGATACCCCAAAGTAAAAGACCAGGATATAGCAAGCAATACTTAAAATTCCCTCTTCCTCATTCTTCCTCCTCCCAATGTTTGGAGGCTCTGTTACTAATTTTTCATTCTATTGAGTAGCTTGCAGCTTTAAATAGTATATTTAAACCTCTATTTCTTGCTTCACCAACTTCAGTCACTACCTGACTCCCCTCAACCTAAGAAAAAGATACTAGCAATCCTACCCTCTTTCATCTTTCCCAACTCCCACCTTCTGTCATCTACCCTTGTATTCTATCAAATTTATTAAAATTTACTGAATTCAGTGAACCCTGTGGGTCATCCAACAGAAAGATCCAGCAGACAGTTGTGCAAAGAAATCTGGAGCTCAGTGGGAATGTTAGGGGTGGACACTCAGGTTTGGGAGTTAGAAGCATACAAGTAGTCTCTACAAAGTGCAACAGTGCATGCAGGAGACTTCACAGACAGAGAAGAGTAGTGAGCCAAGGGTAGCAGCTTGGAGAACACCTGCATTTACTGGCAGGCACAAGAAAGGCCACCAAAGGGGTTAAAGAGACAAGGGTTAGAGAGGAGAATCAGGATAGACTAGCATTAATGGAAGCCAAGGGCCAAATTTCAAGAATACATTTCCCAAATACTCACTCAGATATCAGCCAGTATTTTTTGCAATGTCTTCTCCACAGCGGATCGTGACTTGATAGCTGGCTAAGTCTTCGACTGACATAGCAACAACTGGCAGTAACCAGATTCACAGTTAGTATAAAAGAAAACAAGAAAACAATTTAAAAGTAAAGATGAAAATATTCAATGTTAGGTTTTATTCCTTTTGCTTTTCTGCCACTATCTACCTTTATAACTGCAAAACAATCTTTTCTAAAACCTGTTTAACATGTTAGCTAGTATAATTACCTTGTGAGTAGTGAAATCTTAACTATTTGAGTTCACAAACCACAAAATGTCTACAATTGTAATTTTCATACGAAAGTCTATAAAACATATAAACCATTGGAGTTAATTTCAAATCAAAGAGCTTTCCTATATTTATTATTGGGGCAGTAATCATTTCTACATATAGAAACGTTATTCAGGTGTAAACAAAGTGCTTTTTCTTTTTAAGATCTGTGAGACATTTGATATTAAATACACAGGGCTTTTGTTTGTTCTAATTTTTTCTTAACAGAAAGAAATATTACAGCCATATTACTTTTTCACTATAGCAACTATTGGAAAGCCCACCTATAAAAGGTGTCAGATTCTCAACAATTCTGTTTCAATATCCATAGCTATTCAAGTTACTATCAGCTGCTCAAAAATTTGGAATGTTAGAAACAAATAATTTTCTTTTTTATACAGAGATTTCTAATACAATAGTGCTTGAATCCTGTAAATCCTACCCTACATAATTAATTTTCAAAAAGAATGAACTTAAGATTTAAAAAAATGCATTTCTATCCTTTCAGAAGAGAAATCACAAGTTATAGAAAGTAGGTATAAAAGATTTCACTTGGGCAATAGCTAATCAATTAAGGGAATCTTAAATCACATGGGATTTGTCAAGGCCATAAGTGGGGCATGTTAAAAAACAACTGATGGTAAACAGATTAGCCTTTGTTCATTTTTCAGATTTTATACAAACATAATTCTCATCCTTTTCTGCCAAGCTCAGGAGATGCCCAAACTAACATTTGCAAACATAGGAATCCTTCCAGTTTTGTGAATTCAGAGTCCATCACTGTCCCAAGAGCTAACATAAAAGAATCTCTGGAATATGCACCAAAGGTGATTTCTGATGCAAGGCAAGGATGAAAACTACTATCCTAGAGCTTCTGACTCAGTTGGCATGGGGTGAGATCTGTACCTCAGGCATGTGTATGTTTAAAAAGTGCCACATGTAATTCTGATACACAGTGAGATTCAAACTATGCAGTTTATATTACATAATGATCCCAATGGACTAATTCAATCCAACCCAATCCAGTTCAGCAAATATGTACCATAACCTTCAGAGCTTAGCAATCGGCAGGACACCTGACAAATTTGGGCTATAAACTACAGGAAAGAAGTTGCAGTACACTGGAAACTTTTCTGTGGATAAAATTCTATGGCATTTGTGTCAACATTCCTGGGCTAAGGGATGCCCAGAGAGCTGGTTAAACATTATTTTTTTAAAACATATTTATTTATTAGCTGCGTTGTGTCTTTGTTGCTGTGTGCGGGCTTTCTCTAGTTGTAGGGAGCGGGGGCTACCCTTCGTTGTGGTGCGCGGGCTTCTCATTGCGGTGGCTTCTCTTGTTGCGGAGCATGGGCTCTAGGCGCGTGGGCTTCAGTACTTGTGGCTCGTGGGCTCTAGAGCGCAGGCTCAGTAGTTGTGGCGCACAGGCTTAGTTGCTCCGTGGCATGTGCGATCTTCCGGGACCAGGGATCAAACCTGTGTCCCCTGCATTGGCAGGCGGATTCTTAACCACTGCGCCACCAGTAAAGCCCCTAAACATTATTTCTTGATGTGTCTGTGAGATGTTGCCAGAAAAGATTAGCATTTGAATTGGTGGACTAAGTTAGCCAGATGGCCCTCCCCAATGTGGGTTGGCACCTTCCAATCATCGAGGGCCTGAATAGAACAAAAAGGCAGAGGAAGGTTGAGTCTGCTCTCTGCCTGACCGCTAAGTTGAGACACTGATCTTCTCTTGTCCTTGGCACTCCTGGTTCTCAGGCCTTCAGACCCAGACTGGGATCTACTTCATCAGCTCTCCAGCTCTCAGCCCTTTAAACTATACCACCAGCTTTCTTGGGTCTCCAGCTTGCATTTGGCAGACTGTAGGACTTCTCAGCCTCTATAATTCATGAGCAAATACCTTATAAAAAACCACACACACACACACACACACACACACACACACACACTCTCTCTCTCTCTCTCTCTCTCTCTCTCTCTCTCTCTCTCTATTGGTTCTGCTTCTCTCAAGAACCCTAATACAGTATTCAACTCAGTTCACTTCCACAAACATTTATGGAGGGATCACTTCTGTTTAAAATGTTGATTACTACCAAAATCATTTAAAATAAAATCCGATCTCCTCACCTTGTTTTACAAGGTCCTGCATGATCTCACTAGTCTCTTCCCAAGCCTCTCTGCCTGTGAATCATTCCCTAATTCCTGCAACACCAGTCTTCTAGCTCCTCCAACAGGCTATGCTATTGTCCAATCAGCTTCTGAAAACACCGTTCCTTCTGCCAGGACTGCTCTATGTTATCCGTCATATACAGCAGCTCCTTCCAATTTGAATCAATTCCTTAACAGACCAACTGGTTCACTTCCTTCATAGCACACAGCAGCTCTTGTAATTACGCACTTATTTGTTTTCCATCTTGCCCGCTAGACTGTAAGCTTACGAGAGGGGCCTTGTCTGTCTTGTTCACTATTGTTTCCCCGACATTTAATAGGCTGGCACACAGCAGGCGCCCAAAAAAAGCAAATCTGTTGAATAAATGGTGACTCTGCAAAGATAAACAAGACAGTCGTTACATTTAAGAAATGCATAATCTATCTGGTATGGTAAATACCTCTCCTTCTGCAGAGGAAGGAGAAAGGTAGAGACTGGACTCGGGAGAGGGGGTCCTTAAAGGAATTCCATCTTGCCAGGTTCAGAAGAAGGGGGCATGGCATTCCAGGCAGGGTCAGGAGTTTAAGCCACAGAACAAAGAAACACAAGTGTGCTGGCAGAGGTCTATTTGGCCAGAGTAGACTATGCCAAATAATAAGGGCCTTAAATGCTCCCAGAAGTTTAGGTTATAATCTGTAAATAACAAGGGGCATTATAGGTTTTTAAGGAGGATGACAGCCAGATCTGTCTTAGAAAAATCACTCTGGGAGCAATGTGGCCCACAGATCAAAAAGCGTGTGTGTATGTGTTAGATTTCTAAAAGGCTATAGCAACAGAATATTTCAGATGAAAATAGTTTGGAACTGTAACAGCCTTTTCGAAAGAAAAAGATAAACTTTATTACAAGCCTGAGTAGAGAAAAATTTGTTTTCTAGAAAAATAAAAGTGTTACAGGTACTAATATAGATAGCAGCCAGAAACTGGAATTATCCCTCTGTCACCACTTAGCTAAACCAACCAACAGCTACCAGTAACTTCAAGAAGGCTGTATTTCTAAAAGGATCCCTGACAACACAGGGTACAATCAGCAAATGACTAAAATCCAATGGTTAATCCAAAAAACAAAACAAAACAAAACGAATCTCGCCTACCTATCCTTAAGAGGGCGAGTCTGCCTCCTTTGCAAATATATGTGGTGGCACAAGAAAGACCCATGCCACCAGCTGTCAAGGGTGTAAACAGCGCCATTTCTTCCACCATCCCAGACGGTCCCAAGCGCTGAAGTAACTGGGCATTTAACCACCCCTACCAGCAACCGGTGTTTATTTTTGGAACAGATGCCGGTAACTTGGGAAACCCAAAGCATACAGGAGGAAAAATGGTCACCTGTACCGCACCATCGGAAGTCAGTACCAAAACACAAAATCCAACATGCAACCGTGAGAAGGAACGCTGAAAGCGAAACAATTATCTAGCACAGAAGTCCGAAAGTGAGCCCTGCCAGATATTACGTCGCTGCGTAAGTCGCACCCAGGGGTCAGGGGGTCGCCTGGCTCCTCTCCGGCGTCCCACCTGCCCACTTTGGCGCCTGACTCTACAGGCTCCTGGCCCAGGCAGAGAAGAGCGCTCGGCCCGGACGGGGACTTTTCCAAAGCGGCCAGGGCTGCCCTTAGCGGGCAAAGACCACGGGGGCCGGGAGGTGCTGGGCGCTGGGGTCCGCGCGGCGGCAGCGGGGAGCACTTGGCCCCGCTTCCAACTGGGCCTCGCCACAGCCTGGGAGAAAGAGCTGTTGTCGCTCCTCAGGCCTGGGCCCGGGACGGGAGGAAGACCTCAAGGCGGGGCCCTTTCCGCCCCGGTCTCGCCCCTGCCCCCGGGTGGCTCTGCAGGATCAGGGCGGCCCTGGCGTCACCTCCTGGCTGTCACGGGAGTCCAGGTCCTGTCGGCGAGCCGGGCCTCCGTCCCTCTTGCCTTACGCCTCCTCCCCCACCCGTGACCCCACCCCTGCCGTGCGCATCGTCCCATTACTTGATTAGGTCCCGGTAGTCCAAGAAGGATAAGATAAGGAGCAGGGGATCGGTGGGCAGCGATTCTAGGGTCAGGGGCGCAGACTCGGTCTCCACGGCCGCCATCTTGCCTGGCCCAGTGCAGGCCTGGCCCCGCCCCGGCCCCGCCCCCTCCGCCACCGCCCTCGCAGTTCCCTAGCCGATTGCACAGGTTTGTTGTGTAACCGACAGGATAGCCCCGCCCACGGGGAGGCCGATGGGCGGCTCCCTGGAAGGCTCCGCCCACCGTCCTGCGGGTCAAGGGCCAGCGCGGTGGCGTCCGTCTGCGTCTCGGGTACCTCTTCAGCCAAGCTGCGCGAGCTCTGCCAGGTGTCCACATGCTCACCCTTAAATCTCCCGGTCTCTCTCCTCCCATTCCGATCCCTAAACTTGCCCAGCCCGGACCCCTATGAGCCTTTATTACTAAATCTGCTTGGGTCACTCCAGCCCCTCATGCGAAATTTTACATCCGGTATCCTCGAAGCGTGCCCCCAAATCTCACAGTAAGTTCTCTCTCTGCCCTTGGCCCCCAAATCCATCGCTTCTCTTCGTTTTCCGACCTAGAAATTCCTCGTTTCTCCCTTCAGCTTCCCTCGCCCGGCGTGTCCCTTGCACAGAGCAGGAACCTTGTCCGCTCTGTAGTGGGCAGAGTTGGGAATCAACTAGAGGCTCTTCTTCCAAACTAGGGAAGTGGTCGTCGAGGGCATAATTTTAACGCCCTCCCAAGTAAACGGTGCATGGGGTCTGAATCTAAGGGTCAGCCTCTCTCAATTAGGTTGTCACGGTTATTTTTCAGCCCATTAGGGCAATGCAAAGCGTGTATTAAATGGATTTTTTTTTTTTTTTGCCAAGATTTAATCTCGGGGGGTTAAGTACTTCCGGTGTGAAGGGATGGGTTGAGACCCGGCTGGGCTTGGTTGAGGCACATGATGGCCACTCTTCAGCTTAGACAAGATGGTATTAAAATGGGGGTGGGAGACGTGTCATGGATTGTGAGCTAAGGAATACATCACTTATCGGATTTCTTCTTTTCCGTTTCTTTCCAAAGGCAATATGGTGTAAGCAGCTGTGGGGAGTCTGGTCAGACACGAACTTCACACATCTGTTATTTACTAGAAGTGAGATGGTGGACTAGTTAACTATACCTAAGTTCTATGAGCTTGTTTACTCTAAAAACCAACCATTCCCTAAAGTGGTTTATGGATGCTGATAAAGATTTTTGCAAAGTGCCTGGCTAGATATTCAATAAATGTTAATTTCCCAAGCCTAAGTATACATCCCTCACTAAGTTTTCCAAACTCTTCCACATCCTGGAGAAAGTTTTCTCCTAACTATGTGGAAAAGTGGAAATGATTCTACCCCTCCCATCTCACCCACCCCCAACAATAAAACACTCCATTTCCTCTATTCACCATGCCATTAATGCTTTATAATTATGGTTTTGTCTAATTTTATAACCCCTCTCCTCCCCCCCCCACTGTATTAATTACATTTTTTATTTTCTGTGTCTTATGATGTTTTGACATCCTAAAAATCCTGCTGGCTGGGGAGAGACTGCCCCCCCCTCCCCCCAGGGCTAGCTCGTTCCTAAAGATAGCAAACAACTTACATGGACGCACCTCTCAAATGCAAGCCAACCACCCCCTTTATCTAACTGTCACACACCAAGCCACTATTTCCCCTGCCTAAATTGTCTCAGGGCTAGGTACCAGGCAATGAGAGAACACCTCTATAGCCCAAAGCCCACCATTTATTGTTCAAATTAGCCAATCCCAAGCTGTTTACTTGCCCTGCCCAGTGCAAACTCCAATAAAGGCTCTGGCCTAAATTTGCCTCTTGCTCCTGCTTCTGCCTCCTGACCCAAACCTGATGCTTCCACTGGGCACCTTCACAGTGTCGTGTGCCCCTTTCTCTAGGGAAATGTAATAAAAATCTTCTTTCAATGGCACTGATCTTGCCATGTCGTCATTCAATCACCTTCATAAACTAAAATCCCACAGGTAAAATGAGAGCCACCCAGCAAAAACCAAAAACTAAACAAAACAAAACCCTCTGCTTACATCTCTGTATTTCCGAACTATTTATGCACATATTTAGAGCATTAATTGAACCGGATTCAGGTCAGTTGTTCCCTGTTTGTCTCTCTCACCAGGCTGTAAACTCTCAGTCTTTTTCATCCTTGTAACCCCAAGGCCTTTCTACAACAAGTAGAAAGTTTAAGTTCAGGTTGAATGGATGAAGACAGAGCTGTCATTTCTGTTTACAAGGGAACCTTGCCTGTTGATATAGGTAAATGCTTATAAAGGCATTTGATTCTAATTCATTTTGTCTATTTCTCCCTCAGATGGGCTACTTTACTTGTTTTAAATCGAAAAACTGGTAGGAGTTTCAAGTGGACTGCATTTGCTTCTGCTATCCTATTGCATTTTCCTTCCCTTTGGACTTGGTCCAGTTATTACCTAATGAGAAGACCAGAAGTGTGAAGTTAATCTGTCATGGCCAGGATTAAGGTGAGGCAAGATTTGCGCTCACTTGGGGCACAAAATTTAAGGGAGTACCAAAAAACCAGTAATCAAGATGATGTTAATATTTTAATACAATACTTTAAAAAATTAATGCAAAAACCCATGATGAACAAAATCTTAAACAAAAACGGGATCCCACAGTGCTATGCAAGCCATACTGGAGCCTAAGGCAAAAGGAAAAATATATGTTTTTATGTCTTTTCAAATGGTTATTTTTTTTCCTATAAGGCCAGGAGGGGGTGCTCAGGCAGGGGACTTGCTTCTCCCATGTGGCAGGGCTCAGAGCTCTTGCCATCCTTGGGGAGTGACATCAGGTTGCTGGCCCCTGCTGTGACAGCCCACACCTCCCTGGGGAAGTGGTCCCAGCCCAGGCTCCATTTCTGTCCGCAACATGGTAGAAGCAGGTAGAGGAAGCTGGGGGAGCAATGTAGCTGATCAGGACCCAGGACAGCCCTTTCCTGGGCTGTGGCTTCCTGTTACCAACCCCCATACCCCTAATCATGGCTGGAAAGGGGTAGGAAGAGGAAGCCGGGACTTGGCTATTTGGGTCCCCTGGGCTAAGGTTGAGGGTGAGGGCTCCATAGCCTTTGTGCCTTGGTGGGAGAAACAGTTTCTCCCACCAAGAGTCTGCTAATTAGAGTCTGCTAATTGTTTTGGAAGCTAGTCTCTAAAGGGCATGGAAGGATTTCACCAAAACAGAATTTGCTTGCCATTAATATTCCTATGGTAGGTCAGAAAGCACAAGGTTCTGAAAGAAGAGTTCATGTGTGGCATAAAAAAAAAGATTTCTCTATTCTCTCAGGAATAGAGATAATGCCTGAGAAGTAAATATACTTACATGTTCTCTTGCCTTCACTGGCAAGCAGTTTTTAGTGCACAATGCCTACCTCCTTACACATGATTACACCTTAGCTTCAAGGTTCCCATTGGCTGTTTTGGTAAATCCCTCAGACATCATTCTTACCTTATCACATGCGAGGGTCTGGGCTCAGGACTGGAAGGGATCAAGACACAGTGCTGTTCCAGCTTTGATGCAATTACTCATTAGAAGGTGAGAGATACACCTGTTTGCTCGGGGAGAGACAAATCCGCATGGCCCTGCAGTCTGTTTTCTCCCTCGTTTTCATGGTTTAGCAAGTAGCTGCATCAGCAGATCTGAGTTTGCTGGCAAGCAGGACAGACAGTAGACACTGAGCTTTAGAGGCGCTTGCTAAATGGTGTAAATGGTGCCCAGGGGCCCCCCATGTGTAAAACACCATAGTTTAGGGTCCCTCTCTATTGACCACCCTCTGGGATGTGTCCAGTCTTCTTCTGCCCAGCCTAAGTGTGCCTCCCAGTGGGACAATGAAAGCTGTGAATTGGGATGGGGCGGGAGGTGGGGTGGGGTGGGAGTTCACGTGCATTCTCCTCCTTCTCTGCTTGTAGACCCGCCCCGAACATTGTGTGTTGACACTGCATGGCCTTGGTGGCATGCGTCCTGGGCCCGTGAATAGCAGCTGCACGAAGGTCAGACTCCACTTTGTCTCATGCTCAGTGTTTTGGGAAAGGGCCTTGATCAATTGGGCCTCTCAGGGGCAGGATACATTCTCAGGGGTTCCTGGCAGGTTGTAGAGCAGGCCTGGGATTGGACCGTTCAAGCCTTGGTGTCAGCTCTCCTAGTTGTGGTGAGGCAGATGAGGCGGTGGGAGGACCAGGATGGAACTGCCAGACACCAGCTCCCGCAGACAAGTGCATCATTCAGAAGGAAAACCGGGCTGCAAGGCTGCTGGTGATTGGTCAAAAGGAAGCCTGCCTCTGCAGAGCCCAGGAAAATTCAAGACTATGCTTATGCTTCATGGCTGAAAGCAGGGAGAAGAATAAAACTGCAGGGTGGTAGGGATGTTAGGGGCTGTCAATGTTGCTCAGAAAGGCATCCATCCTGATGGGTTGATGCAAAAATCTGGATGGGATTTAGCTGTTTCTGTGGAACAAAAACACAGACAAACCCATGGCTAATGAGAAGCCTAGAATGAAGGTAAGATTTAAACGCACAGTTCCAACAGTCACACAAACGAGGTTCTGGGACTCCTGCTCTTCCCGTGGGCAAGACTTTAAATATTCCTGAATTTGCTGAGCATATGTCTGTTGTTTTGCTTTGTCTGGAACATGCTTCTTGATTTCTTGCAACCTGTATAATTAATATGAATTTTCTGGACACATGGTGAATGGACCTGCTTATTGGACGCAAAGTGTCCCCTATTGGTGGCTTATAATATGGTGAATACTGAAGGTGTGGCCAAGAATGGCCTGTAATCCCAAAGCTTACCAAGATTGCATCATGGAAACAACAGCTCCTCGCAGGGACAGAGAAAAATGCAGTCTTCTCATACAAGATGTTATACAGGTCAGGGAGCCAAATAACGCCATCCAATTCAATAGCCTACAGGGCTGGGGAAGCCACTAGTGTCTGGAGTCTTACTGTGTCCTTTTGAGGCTTATGCAGGTCAGTTTGTCCACTGTTGTTGCTATAGTGCCTGACAGACATCATAAGAGTGGCTGAACCAGTGATGCTTGGTATGTGGGCTTGGATGGGCCAGTGTTTTTTTTTGGTGGGGTGGCGGGATACTTTCCAGGAAGAAGGGAAAATTCAGTCTCTGACCTATGCTCATCTCTGTGCCCTGGGAGGCTGATCTCTATGACCTCCTTCACCTGGGTTCTCTTGTCATCTGGCTTCTGGTGGGGTTCAGCCAATGAAAAGCATTGGTCGGCAACTGAGGAGCGGGGGAGAAAAGAGAAATTAGGGTATTTCTCTGTGTAGACCAAACTTTTTGGTGCCCTCTTTGAAGTCTTTGGCTTGTCCCACTATGGTAACACTATTCCTTCCCATTGCTCTTTCAGGCTTGGAGACATCTCCCCCCTGTTTACTAATCCCTGGGCACCTCACCATCCCTTATTTGTTCCCTCATCCTGTTCATACCTCTTACGTGATCTCCTCATTGAATTCTGTTCAGTAATGTCCCTTTGAAAGTTTTGTCTGTTTTGTTGTAAGACCCTGACTGATATCATTTGCCTTCACCCACCCAGGCAAGCAGTACTGTAAGAAACTCCCTAGTACATCATCAGTGGGTTGAACTCAGGCTAAAACAGTGAGAACTGCTGCTTGGGGCCAAACATTCCACTATATTGATGACACAAGCATTGAGTGTACTTCATGCATTCCATCATGTCCCATGTTGGAAAAATTGACCAAAGATGGATGGGTTCAAAAACTTTTGGAGGTGATGGATATGTTTATTACCTTGATTATGGTGATGGTATCACAGGGGTATGTATATGTCCAAACTCTTCAAAATGTATACAGTAAATATGTGAAACTTTTGGTATATATCAACTATACCTCAATAAATCTTTAAAAGAAAAAAAAAGAAGAAGAAGAAATGATTCTGCCACTCATGGGACCTTCTTGGGTACTTCCTGTGTGGCTACTAGCTATGGGACTGGAGGCCCAACCTCTGATTGGCCTATTTTAGAAACAAGACTCTCTGTACCTAGGAATTTCACTACAGCCTTTATATACCAGACAAACAACCACACGTGGGGAGGGGGCACATGTGGCAAGAAGCCTGGAAAGTGATCCAGTCATCAGTAAAGCAAACCTGTGCCGGAGGCCTCCTCTCCTATCTCCTTACCACCCATGGAATCACAGGTATCAGTGTTCAATCTCGAAGCAGGTTGTAGACTGTGGAAATGGGACTCTACTTTCTCGTCAGCCAGGTCTACAAGAACTTCCTTCTGTTGCCAAGCCTGAAGCTAGCCCATTCTGGAAAAAGAGACTGTCAGTGAAAAGAAAATGACTCTGCCACCTGACATTCTCAACTTGCATTGAGTCCTATACCATCTGAACTGGAATACCCAGAAAGTTCTGTAGTGATATAGAAATGGTCCCTCCAGTCAAGGCCCAAGCCTGTTTCCTGATACCTCAGCCAACTTCAGGAACAGGTGGCTGCCCACCCGTTAGACACAGAGAGACCCACCTACTGTTAAGCGTAAGCAGTTGGCTCACTGGGGACCTCTTCAACAAGACTTCCATATGACAAAAAAGCATGGTTCACTGATGAAATAGCTTGCTTCTGAGATGGGCAAACCCCATGGAATGCCACAGCCATAAATTGTGGAGTTCAGCACTAGACATACTGAACAATGTGGTAAACTTCAGATGCTATTCTTGGCTGTAGGGCACGCTGCCCCAAGATGGACAGAAACAAACCTTTACGCAGTGTGTCCATTAGGGTCCTCCAAGAAACAAATGCTGGGATAGGATTAGATTCATGAGAGATGCACTGCGGTTGTGAGTAGAGGTTGTGAGGGATAAAAAATAGGGAGTGAGAACAGGCAAAAAGAGCCTCAGACCATGATGCAATTCTGATGCTTGGGAAAAGAGAAGGTGGAGGAAAGAGGATTGGGAAGGAAGAATCTCAGACTGGACTGCAGCTCTGAGAATGTCTCAGCCAGGCCGATGGAGAGTCCTTGAGCCAAAGCTGCCCACTGGAGTAGTCCAGAGACCCACGGGATTGGCCTGCGCTAACACCCCATCATGGTCAGGCCTGGACTGGGAGCACCCCAGAGGAAGTGTGACCTTGATGCAGAAACGTTGTGGGTATCAAACGGGAGTTGTCAGTTAATGATGCTACCTGCAGCAGGAGATCTGAGCTATTTCCATGGCTGTCACACACAGAACATCCCTAATGGTCTAGCAATTGGTCAGACCATTGGGACACCCAAAGACTGAATTAATAGAGGCATAACAATATGGGGCATCCCCTGTGGACATAGTTACGAAGTGGCAAAATCTAGAGGAAAACAACCTACTTAAAAAGACTGATGAGGGTATATATGGGCTTTGTGTCTATCCATGGCAGCCCATTGAATCTATGCTCTAATCCACTACACCAATGGAACCACCAAAAGGATGGGGATACCCAACTGGAAATTCTTTTGACACAAATAGAAGCTACTGCTACTGAAAAAGCTTGCGTTCTTGTCCCACTCTGTCCAGTGATGACCTGGTGGTCTCTACAAGCCTGGCCTGTTCAGCTGTCTTGGGCCATTTGTAAGTTGCACACTGTCATAGTACCCTCTGCCTTGACTGAGCAACTGGGCACCTGGGAGTCAATGAGGAGGCACAGAGGAAAATGTTAGTGGGAAGAGGACACTCTTCTCTCCACCCCACCCCCTTATCATGGAATAACACACAGTTGAGGAATGTATCAGGTTACTTTGGGGAAAAAGAATTCATGCTCCATATTTCAAAAGAGGAAATTTAACACAAAGAATTGTTAGACAATGTGGAAAGGCTGAAAGAGCAGGGAAAGAATACTGAGGGGATCCAGAAATTAGGACTGCCAGAAGCAGCTACCACCCCAGGGCTCTGGAAACAAAACGGAAAAGAGCTTATAGAACAGAGGAGCTGGAAGTATGTGCCTGAGGATCGAATGATCAGATGTCTAAGGGAGGGATCCCGTGCAGCTGGTGTCAAGATCTCTGAGAGGGGTCACCTCACAGCTGGTGCTAATGAAATCGCTAGGTGGTGTTTCGGGGGGCCTTGAGGAGCTCTGGTGTTTTATGCTTTAGCTCAGAAAGAATTTGGTGAGAGGCAAAGTGATAGATAAGAAGTGATTTATTAGGCTAGGATGCTTGTGAGGCTTACAAGCGGGTGGGTGAGAGGGTGCTGTGCCCCAAGAACTTAGTAGGCTACAGTTTCATAATTAAAAGAAAAGTGGGGAGGGGGAAAAGACCACTTTTTTTTTTTTTTTAGTAGACATTAAACTTCCATTTTTAGCTCCTCCTCATCAGGTGGGGGAGTTTTCTTTTCCCTACATGGTTAAGCCGGGACTGTCAGGGCACTCTGGTAAAATTATTTCAGGTTGTAGGACAATGAGGGTCTTTCACTTTGAAATGCCTCCTTTCCATAAATTATTATTTTTATGTGTGCAGAGATCACGTCCTAGGGATTATTAACTCACTGAGCTTACTGGGCAGGATGTGGATTTCATGCCACCATTGTTTTTTTGTTTGGGGGCATGTCTCATGCTTTTGTTGCGTGGTTTTGTTGCTAAGCAAGCCTGCTTGGTTTTGCAGTTAAGCAAACCTGCTTTCTTTCTTTCTTTCTTTTTTTTTTAAAGAAGATGTTGGGGGTAGGAGTTTATTAATTAATTAATTAATTTTTGCTGTGTTGGGTCTTCGTTTCTGTGCGAGGGCTTTCTCTAGCTGTGGCAAGCGGGGGCCACTCTTCATCGCAGTGCATGGGCCTCTCACTATCACGGCCTCTCTTGTTGCGGAGCACAGGCTCCAGACGCGCAGGCTCAGTAGTTGTGGTGCACAGGTTTAGTCGCTCCGCGGCATGTGGGATCCTCCCAGACCAGGGCTTGAACCCGTGTCCCCTGCATTAGCAGGCAGATTCTCAACCACTGCACCATCAGGGAAGCCCCAAACCTGCTTTCTTGAGTGATCATTAACTTACAGGGTTTTTTTTTTTTTTTTTTTTTACTTACAATCCCCTAGTGGGATTAACTATTTAATTACCTACTTTGGCCCTTTACTCTGTCCCTATCACGAACATATCAGAGCAGGTAACTCACAGCAGATACTCAGAGTCTTGAAGTCGCCAGATTTAGCACACATACACACATACCACCACCACCACCATCACCACCTTCAACAACAACAAAAAAACAAAGGAAAAACAACGCCACCAGGAAACCTAGTTAAATTTGAATGATTTCTAATTGCTTATGTGCATATACATTGAAATAAAAGAAAAATATCACATGGGACACATTTATACTAAAATATTATTCATTCTCTATCTGAAATAAATTATAACTACATAAGTTACCTACCTGTTTCTTTAATTATATTTCCCTGGTGATTTGGGTCTCCCTAACGTTTCTTTGTGTTGCAGAATTTGCATGTATAAGTCCTTGAATTTACAATCTGTTTCATTTACATTGTAAAATAGTTTCTACAGTGGTCACATCCAGCTTATTTTGTTCTTTTGTCTACTGAACATCCATTAATGAGAAAACACGCTCAACAATTGCATTGTGAGCTGGTGTGCTGAGGTGTACCGGCTGTCACCGACTGGCTCAATTTCAGAAGTTTGGGGGCTATCTGTGATTTGCTAACTTTCCGTAGTGTGCGTTATTGGAGTGAGGCTGTCATTGACTGGTTGATTTTCAGAACACAGGTTATCTCTAATTAGTGGTGGTTTCTTGTTCATGACCTGGGACTTTGACCAAAGAACAATCTTTTTCTTTCTTGATGATAAGAAGAATCAGTACTTTAATTCTCAAACCTCCTTTTTGGCCTATCCTAAGTCAAACCTGCAGGACAGACCATGTGGAATTGTCCATAACTATATTTGTGGAGGTATGATTTTCAGCTATGTTGCATTCAAGTGACTTAAGCTTCAATTACTATAGCAAAAAAATACTCTAACTGCTGATACTTGGTAATTTATTGGAAAAGAAAAGCTGTCTAGAGGGCATTGAAGGCATTGGGGCAAAGTCAGTACAGAATACAGAGCACAATCATTAAACACAAGACATGTCATATAGAGGAGTCCTGGCAACCCTACTCGAAAGGGTACCACTTGATTGGTATTGGACCTTTGAAAAGGACAACTTCACAGCTAGTGATTTGGATCCTGAAAGGGCATCCTGGGGCTGGGGATCAGAGTGCCTAAAGACCTCCGGAGAGAGACATGCAGGGGCTGGAAATCAGCAGGAGACTCCCCCGCCCCTCCTTCCTTCCAGTCTCCTGCCAGTGCTTCCCAATAGGCAGTGCCTAACCGGAATCCAGCTTGCAGAAGCATCAGGGAAGTGTCATTTTCAGTCTTACAGGCCCACCATCACTGAATAGAAAACATAAGGGCAGCCAAAAGCTGAAAGACAAGAGGTAAATAATTAACACAAGGAAGAATTAGTCAAGGAAAAAAAAAAAAGCATCCAAATCAGAAAAGAAGTAAAATTATCTCTGTTTGCTGATGACATGGTATTATATATAGAAAACACTATAGACTCCACCAAAAAACTGTTAGAACTAATAAGTTAGTTCAGTAAAGTTTCAGGATACAAAATCAATATACAAAAATCAGTTGCATTTCTATACACTAACAACAAACTATCAGAAAGAGAAATTCAGAAAACAATCTCATTCACAATAGCATCAAAAAAGATGAGATACTTAAGAATAAATTTAACCAAGGAAGTGAAAGATCTGTACACTGAAAACTATAAAACACTGATGAAAGAAATTGAAGAAGACACAAATAGATGGAAAGATAGTTCATGTACATGGATTGAAAGAATTAATACTGTTAAAATATCCATACTGCCCAAAGTGATCTACAGACTCAATGCAATCCCTATTAAAATTTCAAAGGCATTTTTCACAAAAATAGAACAATTCTAAAATTTGTATGGAACCATAAGAGGCCCTGAATAGCCAAAGCAACCTTGAGAAAGAAGAACAAAACTGGAGGCATCACATTTCCTGATTTCAAATTGTATTACAAAGCTATATTAATCAAAACATTATAGTGTTGGCATAAAAACAGACACATAGATAAATGGAATAGAGAGTACAGAAATAAACTAGTGCATTAGTTAATTAACTAATGGTCAGTTAATTTTAACAAATGCACTAAGAATATACAACAAGGGATAATAGTCTCTTCAAGAAATGGTTTTGGGAAAAGTAGATATCCACATGCAAAAGAATGAAACTAGACCACTATCTTACACCATACACAAAAGTCAACCAAAAATGGATTAAAGACTTAAAGGTGAAACTGTAAAACTCCTGGAAGAAAACATAGGGGTAAGCTTTTTGACACTGGGCATGGCAATGATTTTTTGGATTTGTTATCAAATCAAAGGCAACAAAAGCAAAAATAAGCCTGTGGTACTACATCAAACTTAAAAGCTTCTGAACAGTAAAGGAAACCAACCAAATAAAATGAAAAGGCAATGTATGGAATAGGAGAAAACATTTGCAAGCCATATATCCAATAAGGGGTTAATATCCAAAATATACAAGGAACTCATACACCTCAATAGCAAAAAACCAGATGATCCAATTAAAAAATGGACAAAGGACCTGAGCAGACATTTTTCCAAAGAAGGCATTACAGATGGCCAACAGGTACATGAAAAAGTGCTCAACATCACTAATCATCAGGGTAATGCATATCAAAACCACAATATAATATTACCTCACACTTGTTAGGGTGGCTATTATCAAAAAGACAAGCAATTACAAATGCTGTCAAGGATGTGGAGGAAGGAGAACCCTTGTTCACAGTTGGTGGGAATGTAAAGTGGTGCAGCCACTATGGAAAACAGTACGGAGGTTCCTCAAGAAATTAATAATAGAACTATCCAGCTATCCCACTTTTGAGTAAAAATTCAAAGGAAATAAAATCATTATCTCAAAGAAATATCTGTACTCCTATAGTCATTGCAGCATTATTCATAATAGTCAAGGTATGGAAACAACCTAAGTGTCTATAGACAGATGAATGGATAAAAAAGTGCAGGGTATGTAATGCAGTGGACTATTATTCAGCCTTAAAAAAAGGAAATCTTACCATTTGCGACAACATTGATTAACCCTGAGGGCATTATGCTAAATAAATATGCCAGACAGAGAAAGACAAATACTGCACCGTATCACTTATATGAGAAATCTAAAAAAAAAAAAGGCTGAATTCATAGAAACAGAGAATAGAATGGCTGTTGCCAGGGGTTGAGGGGTGGGGGAGGTGAGGCGAGGTTGGTAAAAGGGTACAAACTTTCAGTTATAAAATGAATAAGGTCTGAGAATCTAACATATGACATGTTCACTATTGTTGATAACACTGTATTGTATAATTTGCTAAGAGAGTAGAATTTATGTGTTCTCACCAAAAAAAAATTTTTTAAAGGTGAATTTGTAAGATGTGTTAATTAACTTGATTGTGGGACTCCTTTTGCCATGTATATCAAATCAGCATGCTGTACACTTAACTACAATTTTGTCAATTATACCTCGATAAAGCTGAAAAAAATAAAATGGGAAAGATAAAAAATAAACACAAATATAATAAAAAAGAAATGCATAAATATTTTTAAAGGATTCTCCTTATATTTTTGTACAACTTGTATTTTTGGAACAGATTGTAAACTTTTTTCCTTCTTAGGAAATATTCATCTACATTATCATTATTAATGACTAGATGTATGTTTCTTAATATGAATGCATCATATTTTACTTAATCTCCTATTATGAGACATATAGACAATTTCCAATTTTGTTATAATAAACGCATTGTGATAAGTATCCTTGTACATTCATTTTTGTGAATTGTTACTGTTACGTTCATAGCATAAATCTTAGGTTTGGAATCGCTGGGTCAAATTTACAAACTTTTAAATAGTTTGTCACCTATTTCTAAAGGACTCTCAAAATAGGCTACAGACAAAGCACTGAGTTCAAGGTATAGAAGTAGTACAGACCCACATACTCTGACCCAAATATAGTAAAATCAGAAACAAATAATAAATGTATATTCTCAAAGCCCCACCAGTTTAGTCTCAAAAAGCAAATAAATGAAAATATCCTCTAAAAACCTCTTTGGTCAAAGAAGAAATTAAAGCAGATATTACAGAATTATTTGACAGTAATGACAACCAGAATGGCATATAATAACATTTTTTATTTTTCTGCCAAAACTTTACCTAGAAGCAAATTAAAAACCTTAAATATTTTCTGTATTAGACAAGGAAGAAAAAAATATATATATATATATATATAAATTAAGGAAAAGTATAATGGAAAGAATTAGGAATAGAAAATAGTGGAAATGACATGTAAGTTCCATATCTTGCTCTATGTTTGTGTAAGTGTTGGTGCATTTCTGTGTGTGTGCGTATTCACATGTGCTCAATGGAGCAGGGAGCACCATGGAATCTTCCCACATTTTGCTGACAGTTCAAGAGACAAGAGAAACCTGACCTCACTTGCAGTGAGATTAACTGGGATAATGTCAGTGTCAGCAGAGCGTCATGAAGGCACAAATGTGGAAGTGACTAATTTAGCAGTGGGCGGGTCAGTGAAGGAAAGCGTCCTAAAAAATGTGACAGCTGAGTTGAACATCATGGGATGGTTCGGATTTTGCCAAGTAAAATGCTTGTAGAGAGAAAATGAAGCCTAGATGTGTGACTGTTTTCAAGGAGCTAGAATTTTTTTCCATGCCTAATCAGTCCGAGACATTCATGGGATTATTAAAGATGCAGCCTTATCATTTTTAATTATATGCTTTCTTTTAAAACTGTGATTCTTTTGATTGAGGTCATCTATTTTTAGAGCCTGGTTTATATTATTAGTAATTACGGCAGAAAATGAACTTCATAGAAATTAAATGTCTTTTTGTTTCTTATCTGTACTTAGCTGATGAAGTTAGCATGCAAAGATATATTGAAAACCTACTTTATCCTATGAAAAGGACATGTTTCAAGGATCTAAATGTGGTCAAGGAATGCAGTCTGTTAAACCATATGGAAAACTTTTCATTAATTTTAAATTTTTTAGGAATTTATCTGTTGGGTATACCATGACTAAGTTACAGTATTTTATATACTAAGTATGTAATGGGAAAAATGAGGTATGTAGAACTTCTTTTTCCAGAAAGATATACTTTTTACTGTCCTTGTTGTTATGAGTGTTTTCAAAGCTCAAACTTATAAATTCAGTTGAGTCCTTTTTTGGGGGAAAGAAACAATGTTATCATGGGTGTGTGTGTGTGTGTGTGTGTGTGTGTGTGTGTGTAAAATCAAGGAGAAAGGTGTAAAAAGATATATTTTTTAAAGTGGCTTCTCTGGGGATGGAGACGGGGATGTTGTAGAAAACGTGAGTAAGGAAAATAAGAGAGCATGAAGGGAGACAATTATTTTATTTCTTTTTATACATTTGTATTGTTTTGTTGTTACAGTGATAACTGGTGTGATGGTTAATTTTATCTAGCTACTCCACTGGACAATGGCATTTGGTCCAACATTATTCTGGATGTGTCTGTGAGGGTGTTTCTGGGTGAGATTAACAACTGAATCAGTAGACTGAGGCATCTATGAAATCCCCACGGCTAATGTCACACTTAACAGGGAAAGACTGAAAGCTTTTACCTGTAGGATCAGTAATAAGACAAAGATGTCTGCTCTCATCACTTCTATTTAATATTATACTGGGGATTCCGGTCAGGGTAATTAAACAAGAAAGGAATAAAAGGCATCTAGATTGGAAAGGAAGAAGTAAAACTGTATTTGCATTTGACATGATCTTGTTTGTAGAAAATCCTAAGGAATCCACACACACACAAAAATACTATAGCTAATGAACAAGTTCAACACAGTGGCAGGATATAGGATCAATATGCAAAAATTAATTGTGTTCCTATATATTAGCAATGGGCAATCCAAAATGAAAAATAAGAAAACAAATCCATTTTCAATAGCATCAAAAACAATAAAATACGTAGGAATAAATTTAACAAAAGTGCAAGACTTTTACACCAAAAACTCTAAAACATTATCGAAAGATATTAGAGAAGACCTTAATAAGTGGAAACTTATTGTTAAGATGACAGTTCTTCCCAAATTGATCTATAGAGTCAGTTCAATCTCTATTAAAATCCTAGATGGTTTCTTTGGAGAAATTGATAAGCTGATCCTAAAATTCATATGAAAATGCAAGAGACTCAGAATACCAACACAATCTTGAAAAAGAAGAATTAAAGTTGGAGGACTCACATACCCTGATTTCAACACTTACTAGAATGCTACAGCAATCATGAAAGTGTAGTACCGGCATAAAGAGAATTATATAGATCAACAGAATAAAATTGTG